AGCTGTGAAAAAACTGTCCCAGGACCTCGAACAATTGAGGGACGATCTATCTGATTTATCCAGCTCCTCACGTGTACCAACACACGTCTCAGCTATTAACAAAAGGCGTCCTATTGTTCAAGAGAGGAGATACAGGAGGTATACGCCACGGGGTACCCTATGGTTTTACCTGCTGGATCACGGAGAAGACATGACAAAGTGGGATGGAAAACCTACTTCAGCTTTGGAGGAACGGGTGAGTGAACTGAAGAGGGGAGCAAGGGCCAAGACTGATCGTCCCATGAGAGCTACAGCTTCAGTCTCTGGTGAGCAGTTTCCCAGATGGAATGGAAGAGCTGATTTTACTCCAGCTCCTGTGATAACGAAGAATAATCCCTTTCAACACGACTTAAGTGTCCAACACTGTGACAACCATTAGAGGGGCCCTGCCTCCAGCCAGGTGGAGGTAGGGGACAATCGGATTTACTGGACTGTGTGGATCAGATGGCCTGGCACATCAGTCCCACAGAAGTATAAGGCTCTAGTAGATACCGGTGCACAGTGTACCCTGATGCCATCAAGTTGTCAAGGGGTGGAACCCATCTATATTTCTGGAGTGACAGGAGGATCCCAAGAGTTGACTGTGCTGGAGGCTGAAATCAGCCTGACTGGGAGGGAGTGGCAAAAGCACCCTATTGTGACTGGTCCAGAGGCTCCATGCATCCTCGGCATAGACTACCTCAAGAGAGGGTACTTCAAAGACCCAAAAGCGTACCAATGGGCTTTTGATATTCCTGTTTTGGAGACTGAGGAAATTGAGCAGCTGTCCACCTTGCCTGGTCTCTCAGAAGATCCCTCTGCTGTGGGGTTGCTGAAAGTTGAAGAACAACAAGTGCCAATTGCGACCACAACAGTGCACCGGCGGCAATATCGCACCAACCGAGACTCCCTGATTCCCATCCATCAGCTGATCCGTAGACTGGAGAGTCAGGGGGTGATCAGCAGGACCCGCTCACCCTTTAATAGCCCCATATGGCCAGTGTGAAAGTCTAATGGAGAATGGAGACTAACAGTAGACTATCGTGGCCTGAAGGAAGTCACACCACCATTGAGTGCTGCTGTACCGGACATGCTAGAACTTCAGTATGAACTAGAGTCAAAGGCAGCCAAGTGGTATGCCACGACTGATACTGCCAATGCATTTTTCTCAATTCCTTTGGCAGCAGAGTGCAGGCCACAGTTTGCTTTTACTTGGAGGGGTGTCCAGTACACTTGGAACCGACTGCCCCAGGGGTGGAAACACAGCCCTACCATTTGCCACGGACTGATCCAGACTGCACTGGAACAGGGGCAAGCTCCAGAACACCTGCAATACATTGATGACATTATTGTGTGGGGCCATACAGCGGAAGAAGTCTTTGAGAAAGGGAGGAAAATAATCCAAATCCTGCTGAAAGCTGGTTTTGCCATAAAACAGAGTAAGGTCAAGGGACCTGCACAGGAGATTCAATTTTGGGGAATAAAATGGCAAGATGGACGTAGACAGATCCCCACAGATGTGATCAACAAGATAACAGCAATGTCTCCACCAACTAATAAGAAAGAAACGCAAGCTTTCTTGGGTGCAGTGGGGTTCTAGAGAATGCACATCCAAAATTACAGTTCGATTGTAAGCCCTCTCTATCATGTGACCCGGAAGAAGAATGATTTTAAATGGGGCCCTGAGCAGCAACAAGCCTTTGAGCAAATTAAACGCGAGATAGTTCACGCAGTAGCCCTTGGACCAGTCCGGACCGGACCAGATGTAAAAAATGTACTGTACACTGCAGCTGGGGAGAACGGTCCTACCTGGAGCCTCTGGCAGAAAGCTCCAGGGGAGACTCGAGGTCGACCCCTCGGCTTTTGGAGTCGGGGATACAAAGGATCTGAGGCCAGCTATACCCCAACTGAGAAAGAGATACTGGCAGCCTATGAAGGGGTTCGAGCTGCTTTGGAAGTGATTGGCACTGAAGCACAGCTCCTTCTGGCACCCCGGTTGCCCATGCTGGGCTGGATGTTCAAAGGCAGGGTCTCCTCTACACATCATGCAACTGATGCTACATGGAGTAAATGGGCTGCACTAATTACACAACGAACTCGAATAGGAAATCTCAGTCGTCCAGGCATTCTAGAAGTTATCATGGACTGGCCAGAGGGCAAAGATTTTGGTATGTCACCAGAGGAGGAGGTGGTGCGCGCTGAAGAGGCCCCACCATATAATAAACTGTCAGAAAGTGAAAAGCAGTATGCCTTGTTTACTGATGGCTCTTGCCTTATTGTGGGAAAGCATCGGAGATGGAAGGCAGCTGTATGGAGTCCTGGACGACAAGTTGCAGAAACTGCTGACGGAGAGGGTGAATCGAGTCAGTTTGCCGAGGTGAAAGCCATCCAGCTGGCCCTGGACATTGCTGAACGAGAAAAGTGGCCAGTACTTTATCTCTATACTGACTCATGGATGGTGGCAAATGCCCTGTGGGGGTGGTTGAAGCAATGGAAGCAGAGCAACTGGCAACGCAGAGGTAAACCCATCCGGGCTGCTGCACTGTGGAAAGATATTGCTGCCAGGGTGCAGAACCTGGTGGTGAAGGTACGTCATGTAGATGCCCATGTACCCAAGAGTCGGGCCACTGAGGAACACCAGAACAACCAACAAGTGGATAAAGCGGCTAAGATTGAAGTGGCTCAGATGGACTTAGATTGGCAACATAAAGGTGAATTATTTTTGGCCCGGTGGGCCCATGACACTTCAGGCCATCAGGGCAGAGATGCAACATACAGATGGGCCCGTGATCGAGGGGTGGACTTAACAATGGACACTATTGCCCAGGTTATTCATGAGTGTGAAACATGTGCTGCAATTAAACAAGCCAAGCGGTTAAAGCCTCTTTGGTATGGAGGACGATGGTTGAAGTATAAATATGGGGAGGCCTGGCAGATTGACTATATCACACTGCCACCAACCCGCCAAGGCAAGCGCCATGTGCTTACCATGGTGGAAGCAACCACCGGGTGGCTGGAAACATACGCTGTGCCCCATGCCACTGCCCGGAACACTATCCTGGGCCTTGAGAAACAGATTTTGTGGTGACACGGCACCCCAGAGAGAACTGAGTCAGACAATGGGACTCATTTCCGGAATAACCTTACAGATATTTGGGCCAAAGAGCATGGCATTGAGTGGGTATATCACATCCCCTACCATGCACCAGCCTCTGGGAAAATAGAACGGTACAATGGGCTGTTAAAAACTACACTGAGAGCAATGGGTGGGGGAACTTTCAAGCATTGGGATACACACTTACCAAAGGCCACCTGGTTGGTCAACACCAGAGGATCTGCCAACAGGGCTGGCCCAGCCCAGTCAGAACTTTTACATACTGTAGAGGGGGACAAAGTTCCCATGGTGCATATGAAGAATTTGCTGGGGAAGACAGTCTGGGTTATTCCTGCTTCAGGTAAAGGCAAACCCACTCGTGGGATTGCTTTTGCTGAGGGACCTGGATATACTTGGTGGGTAATGCAGGAAGATGGAGAAGTCCGATGTATACCTCAAGGGGATTTGATTTTAGGGGAAAACAGCCAGTGAACTCAATTGTATGCTGTTGCCTGCTGTGTAATGCTTTTATAGCCCATCAACTAGATGTCTCCAGGTCACCAGCGACTGGCCCTGACTTCCCTCCAGCCATCATCCCAACAGAGAATGAACTTGGAACATCATGGACCGAATGGACTCGGCAGCATTATAGGGATTGGTCCATGCACTAAGAAAATGATCTTTTCCTCTTGGTCTGTATGTATATGGATGTATATATATGGGAGAGCGATGGTGTATTGAAAATGTGGGATCTGAGCACGACGTGAATGGTATGGAATAAGGGGTGGATAATGTCCTGGGTTCAGCAGTAGCAGTCATGTTTTTTTTTTCTTTTGTGGTAGCTGGTGCAGTGCTGTGTTTTGACTTCCAGCCTGAGAACAGTGTTGGTGAAGTCAATGTTTTCGGTTGTTGCTAAGTGATATTTACCCTGACCAAGGACTTTGTGAGGCTCATGCTCTGCCAGGGAGGAGGGGAAGCCGGGAGGAAGCAGAGATGGGGCGCCTGACCCGGGCTAGCCAGGAGGTATTCCATACCACAGCACATCATGCCCGGGGTGGGGGGTGACTGGGAGTTACCCGGAAGGACACGGGCTTCCGGGTGGAACTCGTTTTCTTGGCCGGTGGTATCGTATTCTCTTCCCTTGTTATTTTCCCTTATCATTGTTGTAGTTGAGAGTAGCGGTGGTGATTTGTGTTGTACATTGGTTGCTGGACTGTTCTTGTCTCAACCCGTGGGAGTTGCACTTTTTCGATCCTCCTCCCCGTTCCTCCGGGAGTGGGGAAGGGGAGAACCCCGGTGTGGGGGGAGGACACGGACCTCGATTGTTGTCAGCTCGGCACCACTCACTGGGAGTGAGTGAACAAGTTACCTGACTGGGTTTAAACCACGACAGTGTATTTCTCTAGTAAGCTAAGTTTGTGACAGATGGCCTTCTGTCCATGATGAAAATGTAGGGAATTGCCTTGCATTTTATTTTCCTGTTATGGGTGAGAATAGAAAAGATCCTATCTGAGAAAGTCTTGAGCCCACTGCAAAATCCAACCAAGTAAGCACTGTATGAATGAGCACTTCAGCTTTGACTGCTTTGAAAGCACTCAGCATTTTCTGCACCAAAACCTTAAAGCTTCATGGCTTCCAACCCTAACTATTCCATGATTCTATCCTTTCCCAAACTGTGAAGCATTCACTGTATTAGTTGATATGCCTCAGCAGCAATGAACTCAAACCCCAAATTCTTATAAAGTGTAACTTTACACATCTCTCTTTTGTAACAGCAGAACTATGACTTGGATCACAAGAGGACCTGTGAGTTGCTCTTCAGGTATTCTGAGATTTCACTCAACTGTGGCAAGAGATAGCCAAGGGACAGACCCGCTCTTTAACGTACCTTAAAATTCTTCTGGGATTCCGGTGTTGGGCTATCAAGATCTATCAATTTCTTCAGCTCTTCTTCAACAGTGGACTTGGATGCTCGTTTCGGTGATGCTCGTAGATCTCTTGCTGAAGCACGCAGCCGAGGGTGGGCCATTTCATTGCCATCACTCTGGTGACGTCTTAAATGAAATGTAACAGACACATTCAGGTCTCAAAGCCCTGGGGCAGGAGGCATGAATAAAACAAGAATGATAGCACCCTCAAGATTTTCAAAGAAAAACCCTAGGTAGGGGGCATGAAGGAGGGAAAAGAGTTCCGCTAATTGAGCGGAGTCTCATCTTTATGAATACCTGTTGAAGCAATAACCTTGATTAAAAAAGATAAACTAGCAATACATTTAAAGATTATTGTAATATGTTTTCACAATAAGGAACTGAATCTATTAAAGTGTATTTTGTAAAAAAAATAAAATATACAAATGTCTTCAATGAGCCCCAAAGTAGGAAATCGCTATGTTTCTTTACTCGTTTACCTGTCTTTTTATAGTATAATTATCACAAAGTTTCACCATCTCCTTTTTACAGCCAGTTACTGGTATAATTTAGGGGATACTGTGCTCAACCCAATAAAAGTCAAGATGGGTTGAATAAATTATTTTGAAACGGGCTTTCTGAATCACTTGCTTTCAAAGTCACACTGGACTTAAAGAGTATTTTTGCTAGTAAGTTCCAAAAGAGATGGTTGCATATTGTAATGCAGAGAGACCTTTGCTTGCTTTAAGCCAGTTAGACTGGATACTGGCAGCAATCTTAACAAGGCAACATGGAGGGCCATAGACCTAATGCACAGCATGTGCAGTACTACTACATGGATGAGAGCCTTAAGGAAAACTCATGCTCTACATTAAGAGGATTTTTAATATTTGCTCAAAAGCCATTTTGAATCACCTTTAAGAAGTCCCAAGGAAAGATAAGCTTTAACAGGACTGAAATTCATATAGCTCTCAAGAAATGATAAAAAAACTTTTACAATTTAACAGGGAATGAGATTAGCTAACTTTCAAATATTAAGCCTAACTGCAGAACTCTAGATTAAAGATTAAATTCTACAGAATAATAAGCATTCAGTAGTCTTGAGCTCTTCTATAGGGAGAAGTGTCACAGATTTCAGTGAGTCTTTAGAGTTAAAAAAATAACGAAACAAGAGAACCAAAAAATAGTCTTACTTTCTTGAATCCATAAACCCCACTGAGTTTATTGTCCCTTCTGGCTTTTTCCATCCGATCAAATACTTGCTAGTAGCACCCTGGCGAGGGTAGAAAGTCCTAGGACCAGATGAAGAAGAAGAGGAAGAGGAGAAAGAAGGTGCGAGCTGGGGAGAAGTAGCAGGATGAAGCTCTTCTTTAGGAGAGCTTCTAGCACTGGTGAAAACAACCGGGCTGGCAGAGTGTCGTGAGCTCATGGTACTAGGAGAAAAACAGAATAAAGAAAAAATTTGCCAAATGTGTATATATGCACCTATTTTTAAAGCAGAACTCGAGGCACGAGATGTTACTCCTGTCAACAGTGAGTAGCGTATCAAAACCAATTCTCTCTTGTTAAGGGCCTTCCACCCATTTTTCACTAAAAACATCTCATACAGTAATAAAAAACTTTGTAAGCAACCTCTAAGGATGTAGTAGACCACCATCTCCTCATTCACCAATGGGAAATCTAGGGTTTACCTTCATTAGGCATCTTAAAGGTTATACAAGAGATTGTAGCTGAATTACCAAAAAAAAAAAAATAAAAAAAAAAGGAAGGAACAAACCCATACATCTTTCGAAAGAGGGTTTCCTGGTACCAGTTGCAAAAAGACTTGAACTGAGAAGTCTGAGCAGGTCTCTGACCTGTATTGCATTTTGTGCAGATAGAAAAGACTTGGGATTACCAACTGCAGCTTAATTGTTGGAAGAAGGAAGAGGGCTGTAGATAGGAGCTACTCTTTAGTTATGCTGATATTCAAATCTGATGCAACTTGCACCGTATCAGGAGCACTAGGACTTAAGACAATATTTACTATAACAACCTTAAAAGGTCAGGCATTTCTAAGTACAGTTACAGGAAAACTCTGTGTACAGCCTTAGCACTGAAATAGCATTATATATTTGGAGACCTGCTTTCTATCAGCTCCCTCTACACAACTTAGCCACATTTTCATCCCAGTATACAATACTGCAAGGCAGGAATTTGAAACAGATGGCCCTGTGGTAAAGAACAGCTTCTGACTGACAAATAAAAATTAGCTGGGAGGCTGAATAAAGTCACTGAATACTCTCTTCTTTTTTAGCTTAACAGAAAATTATTCAGCAGTTTTTTCATATCTTGATAAAACAATGCATTTTCACATCTCTCACTGACACAGAGAAAGAATTCAAGGTTAAATTTATTTTGCCACCTGGGAAAATAATCTCACCTACATTTAGCATTTTAGAAGTCAGTTACTTAATCTACGCTGCTTGTCTGGCTCCTGCTGTAGTCAATGGAGAAATATCCTTAGGAGGTGATTCTCCTCATCTTAAATTAGGTGTCTCAGATACACAGGGAGAATTAATGTTTTGGAATTTCTCCTCTCTCTCCACGGACAACAGATGGAGTCTAAAAATATCACCTTCAACTATGTTTTATTTTCATATGGTGCAAGTTAAGCACCAACAGTCCCAGCAGTCAAGTGCTGTAGATTTAATGAGGAGTCTAACTGGACTGTAGTTTTCCCACCTCAAATAGCACCAGCTGCTACAGCCATCCCTCATCTAATGTACATGGGGATGGCTGTGAAGTCCCGCATATCAGGGGCAAGATACCTGTCCCCATATGTATGCAAATCAAATGACAGTAATACAGATTTACGTATTATAAAATTATTCTCTCTCTCCTCCCCACCCTATCTGTACATCTGAAAGGCCTATACAAAAACCAGCAGATTGGGAAAATATAGGAAAAGGTTTTCCTGTCCATCAAGCCCATATATTTGGCACTGCACATCACAACCTTCATATTTGTAACAAATACAAGTAAACATAATTTTTAGCAAGAAAGCAGAGAAAATTAAGTGATGGGGGAGAGGCAGTAAATTTCTTTTCATTCCCCCTTCCTTTTTCAATATTGAGATATAACTCCTACACATGCTGAGTAAAGAAGTCCATCTGTGAGGCATCACCACCACAAAATTAAACCGCCAAGGTCTGGGGAAGATGCACATCTATAAAGAAAACATATAGAGCTATTTTGTTTGGGTTTTTTTCTTCCCCCTTCTAAATGCACTAAGAAGCCTTTGCTTTAGTGTAGGAAAAGGGAAGTTCTGATCACATTTCAGAATTCTTTAATCCATCAGGTTTAATCCATCCACTTTTAATCCATCATGTCCACATCTGTTTTTAATCCATTCACTCAAGGAAGTGCTAGTTGTGAGAAAACATTTCTTGGTAAAAACCAGTAACAAATCCTAGATAGGCCAGTAGAGTTGATCCTTAATATTACTAGGGAAAACAGGTAAAGAAATGATGTTCAGAATGCTCTACATAAAATTTATACATTAAATGCATATGTATATGCATTTAAGCACATACAAATATAATAAAATAGTTATTTTATTATATACTGTATATACACATTATGTTTAATGTTATTATTTTAATATTTATTATCATATGTATCATAGATGCCAAAAGCACTCTAGCAAATAAGCAGAAAAATTAGCATATGGTTTTAAGTATATTTTTTTTGAAGTGTCTTGCATTTTGAGCTGCAGTTTTACAACACAGCATTTTGGGAGGATAAACTGCTTCACGAACTATGCACAAACTGTGGACATGACACCCTATAAGTAAACACAGTCAGGACAATAGGATACAGACAGGGACATACTTGTTAAGAGAGAACATATTTGAAGAGCAAAAGGCTTTGGATAAACTCTAGAAAAAAATAAATCAGAGCTGGACCACTACAGTAGTGATGGGAAAAGAGTATCTGACACAGGAAGCATGCAGAGAATCCCTCATACTGTCTGTAAGGATGCCTGTATCAGCTTGATCGTATCTGGAAGAAATACAGTCCTCATTCTCAGGACACAGAGATAGCCACTGTTGGTACCCCACCTCCCACCTCAATTATTGAGGCATCAAGGATTAAGTTAAGGAAAAATTCAAATACCACACAACAATCTGCAACAATTACAGTTGAACCATTCATAAAAATATTATACAATTATTAAATAATATTTTAAGTATCTTCAAATTATTAAAAATAATGAAAAAGATACTTGACTAGAAATAGTCATAATTTTCCTTTCAGTTTTGATAAGAGAACCATAAGAAACTCTGTACAGTTTAGGTGGAAATGAAAGTTTGAGTTTATTTTTTTCCCAGGGAATTCATGCCATCAGTGCATATGGCTTCATTTAATGACATTCAGCTATAATGACTCTGTATAATTACTGGCCTACATAATGCAGTTCTCCTGGGATGCTATGAGAAATCTGCACAATCATCAGGAAGGACTTTCAGAATGGGGGTGGAGAATAAAAATAAAACCCAGCCAGAAGCTCTGCTCTAGAAGTTAATCACTATAATTTACATTTTGCCACCAAATCTCAGGTACAAGTTCTTTCATGCACCATTAAATCATCTGAAAACTGATTATTGCTCCTGTCTTCTACAGACACAAACACTCTAATTTGTGGTTACTTTCTTTTGTCACTGAGTTCTTTTTAGGGCCAAATTCCTTTTCTTCCTCAGAAGCCTGACTCTAAAGACATTACAGACATTCTGGCCTCCACAGGCAAAAGGTAAAAAAGTGAGAAGCAACAAAGGATAACAACTTAGAAACTGAGAGAGAAACACACCAATTAAGCTGTTCATTTCTCATGAAAAGCAGCCTACTCAGAATCACCCTTTTGTCTCCCCTCCTTCAGGAAGAGACAGATGTGGTCACATTTTGGAAGTGCCAATTTAACAAGCCTCCAGCTCCAAACTGTTGTGCCTCCATAGAAAGACCTATGGGAGAGCTGGAAGCAAACAGCTGGATCTAGGGTTTCCTCAGGTCAGCACTAGTGTTTAGTGTGCAATCACCAACTGAGGATGCCATCAGAAACAAAATGAAAGCTTTTTAGCCCACTGTGCCTTTCCTTTACTGTGAGGCATCAAACACGTGCTAGTCTTCAAAAATAAGAAATAAAGGAACACAAGCATCTTTTTTTTCTCTCTCCACCAAAATAAACAATGTGGGTGCAATGACTGCAGTATTTCTCAAGTATCATGCCCCATGTGTTCTACAAATTGCTACTACTCCTCTTTATAAAGAGCTGCATTTTTAACATCTGTTTTTTAAGTGAAACTGCAAAACAAAAACCAAACCCCAACTGTTTTTCCTAGCACAAAGCCTCGGGAATCTTTATCTGGAAATATCAGTAACAGCCTCAAAAAACATGTAGAGATTTTTTATCATCAGAGAAGCATCACATAAATGAATCCAAACCAGCAATAGAAAATAACATGCTTGGAGACACAACACTACCACATAATGACAAGACAACATCCTGGACTTAAGTTAGCGATCAAGTTGCAAAGTATATGCATGGAAGACAAAGATGAGAGCTGTCAAGTGTATGGCTGCCCTTCCAAGATATTCTCAGCTTTTCTACTGAACTATTCCTATTTGGTGCTCAGAGAAGAGCAAACCAGAACTGTAGATGTACAAAGATAGCATTCACTTTAGGCACACTTTTATGGTAAAGCTTCCAAGAGTTACATCTAATTTTCCGAGGGTTTGAGTTGCTTCTGAACAAATCCTTCCAAATGGAAATGCTACTGACAACTGTGTAAGAATCTCCCGTAAAGCTGCTGCTAGTTATATTCAGGCGTATTGCAGGGCATGTGGTAAATTCTAATGAATGATAAAAAATTGAATACGAACATGCTTGTCTGAAAAGGTATAAAATCGTAAATAACTACCATAGAGATTTTAACCTTCAAGGGGCGCATGCTAAAATCACCCAAAATCTAAGTCCCTCTGCACAGTGTTGTTTACAGATTTGCTAAGTCCTTCAAGCAAGGTTTGGAAACACCAGTCTCAAAGACCTGGCTGGGATTTATAGCAACTGAATATGAACTTTAGTGCCAAAAATGGCCAACCAGGAGAAGCAGAAAACTAGAGCAGGACCACCATTAATAGCTTACTTAGTCAAAATTACTATTACAAAGTACATGGAGACCGTTCAGTACAGTCTCTATGACAACCCTCTGCAGCTACTGTATGAGTTGTTGAAATGTCTGATAAACATGTAGCCTTGCTCAAAACGATTAGTAAAAATTGCTTCAGACTCCCAGTCTGTAGGCATTTTAGCTGCATCTTCAAACCTGAGGTGCCTCAAGAATAAAAGCGCAATAGTCAGGCTCCACAAGGCCAACCATTTATCATTATCATACACGTTCCTTGAAAGAGCTGTGTTTTTTTTCTTGTTGCTAGTATGACACAGTATCGAGTATTTTTCAAAAAGCACGCTGAATACCTTTTGGGAAATAGGTTATGAAAATGGTCTAGAATATTTTCTGCCTCTGGCAGCTCTGGTTAATGTGTATACTGGGTATCTCCCATCTGAGGTGTCCAAGCACATTACACACGTACTCGATATGCCAATTTTACTAGTGACAAAACTGAGGAAGACAGGGAAGGTGACTGTAATGTACCCACAAGCCTGCAGCAAAATGAGATTAAAATCTACATGATGGCACTCCCAAGCAACCTCCTCTCAACACTGATCATACTGACTGCAAACAGATTTCTAAACAAGACTGGGTAAAAAAAGTGAGAAACATCTGAAATGTGTACCTGCAAGACTAAAAAAGCTGTTCATTAATAAAATGTACTGATCTCCTTTCTGATCCACATATGAACTTCAGTTGTTGCAAGATATTCCTTATCAACGTATCACACACATCTATCTTATGTTAGTTTAGTAGGAGGTGTATGGAATATACTCTTAAAGACATTCTTTAGTTATAAGCTGTAGGAGATGCAAAGACTAAAGGTGGCCTTAATATTCAAGCATTCTGCACTGTGAGATCTTTCAAAACACTGGTTAACATAACCAGTCTCTTCAACATCTACTTCTCACTTTTGATAGTTCAGAGTGAGAATAGGAAAACGAGTGTGGAGGGGTCAATCTCCTAAGAGGTGAAAATTACCTTGTATGTGAGACGGCATCACTAAGACTATAAGCACTGTTCTCCCTTGTTAGAGGATTGGAGGCTGGTTGACTTTTGCTGTGAATATCCAGGCTCAGCGAAGACTCGGTCTTTCGGTCCATGTGGCTGTCCTTTTCTAATGTCCTGTCTGCAATGGAGACCACTTCGCTGGAGCTATGCCACAGTGGTGCCACTTTTTCTTTTGTTAGCCCTGTACGGGGAGATGTTGCTGCTCCCAGGGAGGCAGTGCTGCCATGGCTAGGTCCGTAGGAAGTGGTATCTATGCCACTATCAGCGGAAGTCCCTTGAAGGTAGTTGTAGCTGTTGAGCTCTGATTCGGTGCGCTCTCCACTGTCATACCATTTCTCATCACTGTGAGCACTGGAGGCATTGCTGGACAGAGTATTGCTGCTGGAATGGCTGGAGTAGTGGCTGTCAGACTACAGAAGAAACAACAATCCAAAAAAAGAAACAAACAGACTTGCAGGTTTATGTAAGAATTATGGCAGTAAAGAGGAGGAGGAAATAAATAGTTACAAAGTCACTGCACAATAGGAGCTCTTCTACCTTGAGGGATTGGATAGATACATTGAGGAGACTAACAAACTCTAAAACTTTCATTCCAGTGTAATGCATGTGCTCTTCTCTGGGTGCACATAAAGAGCTTTCATGTGGATTTGGAAGCCACGTCTTAACTGTTCAGGGAAAGTCAGAGTTGTTTGTGTTTTGTCCCAAAATAATTCATGCTGTTTCTTTTCAAGCACAGTTCTCCAATGAAACTGGCTGAGCTGTGTAGACTTAGTTATAACTACTATAATTAAAAATATTCTTATTTTAAGACTCCAATGGTTTAGAACATAAAATACAACCAATCCACAGGAAGCAAATGTTATTTTAATAATCCAATTGCCCATCAACAGGTTAAACTAGGGTGAAATAACCATTGCTCCTTTCTACCCCTTTGTAGGGTATAATTCCTCCTCAGCAGGAGTGCCCTTTGCAAATGGCCACTGAAATGCCATTTTACTAATCTGAAATTGTTTTCCAAGAGGCAGAATTGCAAGGAAGGGAGCATTAAAGGACTGCTTTTAAATTGTCCCATCAGGGCATGCCGGTGTCTGGCTGGTTTGTATGTTCTGTCCTTGGTTTCAACCTGATGTTATGAAGAAACTGCATGCCTTCAATTGCATAGTGATCATCACTAGACTATACCACTACAGGAAGAATTTCTTGCCATATGCTTATCATTGCTTAGCATCTCACCTATCTTTGGGGTATTTATACCCATCTGAATTCCTTAATTTTAGTTTTCATCTACAGAATTTATCTAAGTTCTGATTATATAGTCAGAACTGAAGCAGTTTTTTGGTAGGCAATGGACTTGTTTGGTGACCACATGGCCTCAGAATAAGGGCAGGGATGGAAAGGAGACTTAGAACCACCTTGCCTATCTGTCTGCCCCTGGAGTTTTACTGAATTGGCATGCACAGAGATCCCAGTAAAATATAAAAAAATAGATGCCGTTTCTGTTTTTACTGGAAAAGAGGGAAAATAGGGAATGGATGTAAACTGTGGGCAAGAAATCTCAGCATCCACTTCTTACTATATTAAAGCAAGACTTGAAAAAAAAACAGTAGGAATATTAAATAAGTTGATCTAGGCTTCTAGTTATCTCCAATTAAAGCTACTGCTCCTCATTAAGAACTGCATCACTCCCCCATACATCTGTCCACATAATAAAGATTTACTTTAACAACGACTAAACGAGAAGAACGCAAGCAATAATAATTCCACTGCTACGCTTTGCATGCAAGCAATGAGTTTTATATGACATTATTACGCGTTTAAACACAACTCATGAAAAGCAGGTCAATCTAAATATAAAAATTAGCTTGTGCTCCTAAGAATATGGACAAGTGTGGTGGTGTTGTTTTTTTTTAAAATAATAAAGATGTATTGTATGAATTAAAATATTATATTGAAAGAAGAATGCTGGTAAGCAGGAGCAACTAAGAGGAACCAATTAAAGATTCTCTCACACATAAATAAGCGCAACTAATACTTTCAGTATAATCACACAATAACTCTGTATTTATACAATTATATAAATAGATAAAGTGATACAGCTTACTGGGTAATTTAAAGTTTAAAGGGTGTGTGGGGGTTTGTAATTCTAATTAAATTTAAAATGTCTTGAAAATTATTTATGAATATTTATCTATCTCTCTGTACATAAATCAGGAAGTGAGAGCCTCCAAAAAGGTGTGAATATCAAACTCTGCAGAGACAGAAGGACAGAATTTGCTGTTTGGATCTTAAACAAGAATAAAACAAGAATGGGTTGTGTTTTTTTTCAGCAGGACTCCGGCAGACCTTTCAGACAAAGTTTTTCACCAGTGTGCAAGGTAGGTTATGGAAAGGAAGTAATACATGAAGAAAATGGGGAAAATACAAACCCAAAAGCAAGAACACTCTTTTGTTTTAAATAAGTGGCTTTCCAAGTGTTGCATTAAAAAATATATTAGTAACTTTAGGCCTCACATGTGAGGCCTATGAATAGCTGTGTAAATTCCCACTAACTCTCTGCTTATCACAAACTAACAGACACGAAGTTGCTGTTCAACTGGCAATAACTAATAAATAGTTCAGTAGGCTGTGCCTAGCTGCTGTAGAGTTCAGGAAACAACAGGTCTGCTCTATTACTTCCTCCATGTTCTAGCAGAGAACGAGGCCTGAGGATTTTTTTCCCGCCTTCTTAAATCATATTGAATATACTTTGAACTACACTTCTGGTATTGAGAGTCTTTGGAGCAAAAGCAATACATAAAATAATTCCGTTTTTAGGATAACTTACATGACCCTGCTTATTTGGAGACAAGTGAACGACAGGATCCTGTCTCATCAGTCTTCCACTGGGGCTTTCTCTGAAGGATGGCAGTACCTTTGATACTGCTGGGAGATGGCATGTTGGTTCTGCAATACAGCACACGATGTACTGAAAAGTATATGCAGTGCAACAAGCTACAAAAACATGTAACCTCATTTTACACTGCTGTTTTCCCAATACTACCCCAAAACTTTGGATACCTAATATGAAATTAATTTCAAATAAAAAACAAGTATATTGTGACAAAACACAGGTGAGTAAGTGAGGGCTCATTCCTGCCTGGCGTAAATCAGTACAAGTTCATGAAAATCCAGCAGTCACCATCCTGGCATTCAGTAGAACCACCTGAATGGCATCATGGCATTGGTACAGACTTCCCAAGGAAGCGGTGGAATCACTATCCCTGGAAGTGTTCCAAAAACACGTACAAGAAACGCTTAGTGACATGGTTTAGTGGTGGCCTTGGTAGCCCTGGGGTAAAGGTTGGACTTGATAATCTTAAAGGTCTTTCCAACCTAGCTGATGCCCCCATTGTCCAACAGCACTATAGCAGAGCATTAAACCAGCAGAATGTTAATTTTCACAGTGTATTGACGTTGCATCTCGATATGTACATTGCTTATGGACAAGAGACTAAAATTACGAAGATCCACATTTTGTTAAATCATATTCTACGCAAGGCAGGATAACAGCAAAAGTCTACAGTGATCATGTATATAAACACATTTTCTGCAGTATAACTACTACACATAGTTCTTGTCAAAGTTAAGGCAAGTTAAATAAACATTTTCTAACTGAAGAGCCAGCAAAAGATTTGTTGAAATCATAATATTCCCTTAAAAATTGCTGGCTGTGAAGGTGGAAACTGCATGGGTGTACAAAAGGAACACTTATTAAACCTGACAAAAGTGGACAGAATTCAAGTCACTCATATGGACAATCACAGGAGTGCTCTATGACAATTAAACTTATTTTTTCCCAGGAGAAAATTATAGAAGTGTAGAGGGTGTTCAGACACAGCCCATCAGGTAGGTGATTGTGTTCTCAGAGCCCAAGGCCAGTATTTTTAGAAGAATCTCAGTTGTGACTTTTTACATGAATCTTCCCTCCTGTGCTTATGCAATATTCTGCACTTCTAAAAATGCTGCTTTTAAGTAGAATACATGCTTATAAACATTAAGTACTTAATATCCATGGTAATTAGCAGTGCTTTCCCCAACACTGCAACAGTTTTGTTCACCCTGACCTGCAGCATTGCTAGCTTTTTTTAAATTAAACTTTGTCTTTTTAATTAAAAAAATACTATATAGAAAAAAATAAATCAAACTTGAATCCCCCTGGCAAGTGGTAGCAAGCAGTGCTGGTGCACAAAGTTCTTCTGAATTTAAGAACAGGCCAGAAAGGAGAAAGGAGTGAGTGTGTGGATTCACTGTACCTAATGCTTTATTTACCTTGAGACAGGTTATCCCAAGTAGAAATATGTTTATGTGTCATAGAACCAAACTTTCACCTAGATTCACCAGACTGGCAATAAAGTCTCCAGTCAAAGATGCAGCTTCCAACTGCGACTCTATGAATGCAGGACAATACACAAGAGATAAAATACAGCAATTATATGTCAGGTCGCATTTTTCAGCCTTTGCCAAATGTTGGAGCCAACTCTTTTACCAGACAATTTTCCCTGTTCTTTTTTGGCTTTATTTATTTTGCTAATATGGTGGCACCTGACATCGTAGAACAGAACTTGCTGGCAGCTCTGCTCAGAGCCAGCACCACCACCCAACTGTTGGTCTGCAAAAGTAATGCTAAGCAAAAGATCAGTTTTACATGTGTTGTTACCATCACACAGTATCAAAACATATGCGATTAAAAATTGTTCTGTCAAAATGAGAACTGCAGATCAGTATAATCACAGCTTTTCAGTGAGAAGTATGGGGGGAGTTGTGAAGGAGGGACTGACAGATGGCTTCAATAACAAGGCACAGATCACTAAGGTTGTGAAGGTATGTGAATAAAGCGTATCTTCAGAACCTGAGGGTGTCATTTACCTTAAACTCCTACTGATCTTACTGAACCTTACTCTGTGTTCAATATTAATTCATATACATAGAACAAAAGCTGTGATGCAGTAAAATGATGATCTATATTGAAAACAGAAAAAATACGGAATTGTTTAATTATGGTAACAAAGTCAGAAAAATCCAATCTAGCAACCTTGACCATAGGGATCATGTAGGATTCAAGGCTGCTTCTAGACAGGACATTTCCACTGGTGTCAATCTCACCGGTATTCACTCAACTCAAGCTATAGCTGTAGCAAAAGGTCTATGTGCAAAAACTTCAGATGAAGACTTAACAATGCGAATTCTTAGTAGCCAGCTGTTTTATGTAGTTAATATGTTACCTCAGCTGACAGCTTAATTGCCAAGTGCAATGAAAACATATACACTGGTGGAAGGTGATTACCAAGCTATAGATTTACTTCACTATTTAAACTTTAATTGGCGCTTTTTTTTTCATTTTGTACATGGTATTTATAGCTTCAATGATCAAACAATCAATTTGCATTTCTATAGCACCCAAGAGGGAGCTTCACAAGCACTTTAGACAAACTGAGCAAAAATTAAACTAAGCCAAGCCACTCAGGAGAGCAGCTGAGGTCAAACAAGTCCTCAACAGCACAACAAATTATTAAGCATGTCTACCCAGCTGCTTCTAGAAGGACAGAATGTTTCAGGGTAAAAGCATTAAGGTAGATTTAGTTCCACAGTCAAATGAAGAACTGAAGTCAGCTCTTCCTCAGGTGATACTCATAGGTCCCAAGGAAACAGACTGCACAAGCTAGTACATGTTCCAGACCTAGAAGAAGGTTAACTTTCAAAGACACTGAAAACACAGTGCTTAAGAGGGTTCTTTCTCTGCATGGAGAGGTATTGCCAAAGTCACCTTGTAGTTAGTACCACTTGCTGATAGCAAAGAATTAATTACCTACCCATCTGGTCAGCGATACTATCCTCACTTCTTTGCCAGCTGGGTGTGGATTTGCCGCTACCACCTGTATCTGATTGAGTGTTCTGCCTGTCAATGGAAGCAGGGGATCTACGGCTAATTCCAAACCTGTTGTAACACCCCAAAAAACAAAGTAGATAATGATTTTAAATATGCATAAATCTCACATAAGGGGTAAAGAGCATTTTTAAGAAGCTAGTGTCAAACAACAGGACAGACCAACACACAGCACAACTGCTTGAGTGAATTTATAATGTGTTTCCATTGAATTTTGTGGCAGCTTTCAGGACCCCTGTGCTTCTTTAGCGTGTAAGATTACAGTACTTACTGATTTATTGAGCTTCTTTCATCAAGAACAGCTGGTTACAGTGCATACAATTAAAAACAGACCAAACTATTCAGAAATAAAATTATTAGTTTTCATCTACAGAGATATTTACATAGAAAGGTGCTCAGACCATTACACAGTTACAGAAAATTGACCACAATGATTAAAACGTAAAAGTTTGTACATAAGCCACAGAAGGAAATGAGGTGTGTTTATTATGAAAGGATGGATCCTTTTAACTGGGAAATCACTACCTCAAATTGGTCAAAGAGAGCATCAGAAAGTTTGTTCGGGCAATCCCATGGATCTCAGCCACTTCCGTGGGTTCTGAGCAAAAGACTAAGTAAGGTTATACCTAGATGATGCAGATATATAAGCAAACACAACATGGACTCATTTGGGACAATACTGCACTGCCAGGTATTTTAAGTAAGTGTTTATAAAGATAACTGTATTAGATATGGATTCCCAAAACCTGGGGATTATAAATTCTGGAGATTATTAAATTATTTGATCACAAAATAAAGTAGACTAAAGCTGTAGGAAAAGAGCAAGACATGTATTCCTATTCCTGTAGAAGAAAGCACAGAGAGCAAAAGGAAAACTGTGTTCAGTGGACTTTGTAAATGCTGTTAGATTAGTCAGGTGGATTTTGGAAAGCTCAATAAAGATACAGTAAACTCAAAGAGAATAATCTAATGACAAAGGAGACACACAATCCTTCTGTGCCATACTGTCTATATGCCTTATATGCCTAAAAGCCTGTAAGAATTATATCCATGATACTCTATTACATATAAACCCCTTAAGTCTTTAAAAAAATTATAGCTGGGTTCAGAATTTACAGGTCAATAATTAAGAATTACTCAATAATAATGCATTTTTGAGGTGGCTGTTTTTTTTTTCCCCAGACATACCCTGAAGGAAAAAAACTTCCCAAAACTCTACATGCACAGAGTAAAACCCAAAAGAATTAGAACAGGCTGATATATTCTCTACATATCAAGGAGTTTCACTACGCATCTAACACAAGAACAGAAAATAAAATACCCAAACTCTGCTTTCCACCTACTCTACTACCTACAGACTGCCTACATGACCTCCACTGTAAAACAGACATCTGCCCAACTGTCAGAAAAAGCTCAGTGTGGTTAACCCATTTGAAAGTTAGGGTACTTTTACGCCAAATGAACCCACCAAAGCATCATCACGACTCAAAACAACAAAATCCCACTCCCATCCTTAAAGACAAGCAGCATTACACACAGCACAGCTCCAAAATGTCATGTTTTGAAATTTGTCCCTTCTAAATTTTACCCAAAGAAGATCCTATTTCCCTTTTGTTCACTGCTCCCTGGTACAGTCAACATGAGGTTTGATGAACAGAAAAAAATGTAATGAAAACCTGGATATATTTGCTTTCTGAATACAAACAATTTACATTGAAACTGCATGAACTGAGTAATGCTGTTTTTTTTCCATTCACACAGACTAGGTAAGATTTCACTCAATCATATACCTAAATTAAACACGACGAATTCAATACCAATTCAACACATGCATAGGAAGTCTAAATACAGCATTTGCAAAGCTGATTGATTCTTTAAACAGTGATCTGAGGTAATTTTTCAACCTTTTAAGACTTGGGAAGTATTTTGGGAAGAATATCTTTTAATGACAAAATAACTAGAAGTTACTACCTAAAAGAAAAAGCCAAAATCCCAAGAAACCTTGCTATGATGAAGTTGTGCTGCATCAATATTTTACTTCCTACGCATTATCCTCTTACCTAAATGCCATAGTGATCATATGTATAAAAGAAGTCAATTTTGCATTTGGCATAATTTATAATTTGACTGTTTTCAAGATCAGAGATACATAAACCCAACATGTTTCTAACTTTATTTCATTAAAATCACTATTCTATTCATTGAGCAGCATGAAATATCTTTAGACTGCATTTCTTACGATGCAAAGAATAATATTCCAAAGCAAGAATAATAAATGCAGGTGGTGCTATATTCTATGCTGCTTAAATACATAGCCCATTGGGGTGTGTAGGAATGAACCTAAAAAACTTGAAGGAGAGCTAAATCGGGAATAAATTGTTTAACTAGACATTTTATATATATGTCATAAGAAGAAACCCACAATTTCATTTTTTTGAATTTCATTTATACATTCTACAATAATGTATTATATATACATACCTTCAGATAAACTTCAGATAAACACAGGATAAGTAAATGAAACACACATATGTACATCAAGAGCAATCTGGGTATTCTTGAAGGCAGTGAAGGTTTTGCCTATACCCAGCATAGGATATGGACCAATAATCTAGAAGAGGCAGCAGTTACTGCTCTTACCAATGTCTGACAGAGGTTGGACGCACACCCATGCTTCCAGTCATCTAAGTTTCACAAACTTTTCAAATCTGTCATATCATGCAATGAGAGAGAAATATACACACAAATTATGCATACCTGGACTGGCATACCTAGAGCACACTGGAGCCTCACCTCAGGAAGATTACCTTCAGGATGTGGTGTCTGCTAAGCCCCTACTACAGCCCATCCTTCTCTCCACCATCTTAGTAATTAAATACTATAATCTTTCTCTCCTATTTTAGCAGCATATATGGGTTTAATCAGTGGCCAGCTCTACCTGGTATATCAAACATCACTACAGAGTTGCCCTGAAGCTGGTGTCTGAGATGAATCTCAACAGAAGATGCACATGGAACTGCAATGATTTTTAGTAATGTGACAAACATCAGTTTGCTTATCGAGGCAAGAGAGTTTCCTTCATAATTGCATTTTTCCTTCCTTATTACATTTTTCATGCTTTCAATTTAGGCTGGCAGATGATGTTTGAAAAGTCTTGAGTAAATATGATTCATGTGTACAAGGACAGTATGTGAGGCAAAGTACTTTTCCTAAGAGAACAGAACATAATAGTCAAATAATTGGAGTTTAATGAGTGATATTTCTTCTTTTTAAAAAAACATCCAATAAGGAACATGCAAAGTTCATGCATTAATTTCTTCTTTCATTATTCCATTTAAACAGTGTCTTCTTGCACTAAATTAAAACTTCAAAACCAAAAAGACTGTATAGACAACATTTCTAGGACACATCTCTGCTGAACTTGCAAAATGCTCAAAGAATGCTATAGTGAACATGTGTGTATAATTAATTTGAAAGATGGAAAAGGGTTGGATGGGTGCTGGTATGCTCTGAAGCCAATTCAAAACAAAAAACCCAGTGTGTCTGAAAGTCCTTTTCTACTCAAGCAGTTATGATTGTGATGGTTTAATGACATAAGGCAGCAATACCTTTTTTGTAGAGCAAATGACATGGCTGGAAAAGAGCAGACAAGATATTGGGAGCACAAGCTGCTCTTCAGAATTCAAGGCAATAAATAAGTTCTGCTGGCATAAATAAGCCAGGAAGTAAGCAGTATATAAAGAGGTTGTGTTTTTTCCGGCTGCAGAGGTTTGGACACACTTCTACTTAGCTTCCTTACAGCAAAGTTTAATGGGTTCAAAGCAAATCTCCTACTGTCTGTGGGACTTAAGCATAAAGTTAAAATAATGATCTCAAGAGGCTCAATAGTCTCATGAATCAAACCCTTCATAGAGGTGCACAGCAGAAAAGAAATTAAAACCTCAAACTGAGCCGCAAGGAGAAAGACAGGGAAGACAAATCTTCAGTGCCCTAGAGCAATGAGCACCACTTGTCCAAGCACATGGCCAGAACAGCATTCTCTAGACTGACAGTCCTGGAGTAAAGGCTGGACTTGCTGATCTTAAGGGTCTTTTCCAATCTAGCTGATTCTGTAACTCTATGACACAGAGCACTGTCCTCTTACAGGCACCTAAACAGGCAAAAGATAGTGCCTTGTGCAAAACAGTTCCTGGTATTTAATTTTACAAATAATAATTTTTTTTCTTAATAGAAGATACTTTACACAAGATCCAAACCAGAACTGAGTTATACACAATGACCTGCAACATAGTTAAGACAACTTGAGAGGGAAGCTTTGCAGTGTGAACTATCAGCAGTTTTGCCCCTTTATATTCTCTATAAGAAGCAGTTCGGAACGTGGTATACAGCTCTCCTGCTGCCAATAATTTTTTTCCCTGCTTGGATATACTTGATTTATTGCTCCTTTCAGTGTTCTCCGAAAATGATACAGATTTAATTTCTTTCTCTGTAAGTTGCCCCTTACACTGATATTGGATCACTTCAGAAAATTTGAAGATTTCTGGAGAGCTGGAAGACAGCACTTTAAAACAGGATGACTGTGAACATGCAAAAAAGATGCTAGCTGTGGATTAGTTAGTGGTTTCTGTGCCTACACAGCTGAAATCTTAGTTGCACTAAACACTACTTTGCTTCAACTATTAGAACAGACTATGAAGTCCCAAATCTATTACCTAATTTGTTGTAGAATCTAAACCTGTGAAATGAAGCAATTTACAACATGAAAACAGTACCTTTACTGAAGGTTTTTAAGTACATAAAGGTCCTTTTGTATAGTAACCTAAGCAGTTGTAGACTAGAATCAGAGAGGTTAGGTCACAAAGGGAAAAGGGGGAGGGCAAGAGATTTTTAACACTTGACTCTTCAAAAAGCATGACAATGATATTTGAAAACAATCACATTTTAATGTGTGTAAACAACAGCTGACAGGAGGCTGTGGAAGCACTCCTTTAGTTTAATGTACATTACAACAAATGGAACAGCAAACAAAAGACTTGCCTAAAAAGAGTATGAAAAAAGTCTGGTGCCTACCCTTCTGGCATAGATTTTTGTCTGTATGTGCCCCCACCAGATCCAGTCTCACTTGAGGATGATAAGTTGCTTGGAGAATTACGGCACTGTTGCGATCTTGCTAAGGCAATGGATGAAACAGTGACGTATACATCAGAACCAGGAGACAATCTGTTCAGAGCAAACCACCCAGACAAATCAGCAATATCATAGTACAAAGCTTGAGGGACAACATCATGGAAATTCTTACATCAGCAAAGAATACAGCATCATAGAGACAGTAGAAATGAAGTCAGTTGAAGGATCAGACATTTCCCATTATTAATGGTGAAATTAAATCAGCTGTGAAAAGCTGGATGCAGGGGAGTAAATGAAGAGGCAAGCGTGGGAGGAAAAAGCTGGCACACACTAGTAAAGCATCCCAGATTTGAAAGTCTTGATTTTTTTTTTACAGATTGCGTGTAAGGAATAATGAAGTATGACAAAATATTTCTAATTCTCAAAACAAACTCTTGCCTGGAATTTAAACTAACTGTATTGAGCTGTCTGTGCAAACTTTTCCAAGAGTATCAAGCTTATCTTTATGCCACCAAACTTGTCCACATTAAATCACAAGGACTAAATTTGTAAATACCTTAAAATCCCCCCTAAAAACTAAACATTCTTATATGAAACTATTTCAACATACCAGAACGCTGAAAATACAGACCTGAGTTATATGAAGCCTTCTCCTGTCAGAATAACCATACGGCAAATAAATGGGCTAGAACTGCAACACATGCACCCGGGCAGAATGGCTGGAAGCAGCAGACTTAGACTGTTCCAACTCGTATATCCTGTTCTGTAGTTAGCAAAAGGCTTTTGCTTTTTGAGATCATCTTTTGCTTTGTGCATTTTGTTTCCCAAAACCCAACCAAATTCACTGCTGCTAAGCTAGTTTTATTCTACTTGGTGGTGACTGCAGCCATTCAGAAATTCAGCAGTGATTTCAGAGTTTAAATTATATCATCCATGAACATCAAAATCCTACTCTGAATGAAAATCTTGATCATGTGGTTTAGGAAAAATAACTTACACAAGTTAAACAGCAACTTAACCTTTATAATTACAAAATCATATTGACTTAAGTGAAACACACAGTTATCTCAGTACACAACTTGGGTCTGGGGGTTTAGAAGGTCACAGCCCAGACACTTCACATCTGTAGAGGAGTGGCAGATTTTAATCAGCTCTCACCACAATAGTGTAAGAACTTTAAAAGTTCAAAAACTCTTTCAAGAATGATAAAAAACCCACATCTCACTGATTTATGATTACTGTATGCACATATATATACTGTTACGTATATATATCCAAAGAGCATATGTGTCTATATATATCTCAAATGTGCATTTTACCCTGACTACTTTGCACAAAAGCAGTAAACTAACAAAATCTTAGGATGAGAAGAGCAGTAGGACTGGACCAAACATCTTGACCATCTGGAATTTCCTAAAACGCATATGACTCTCTTTCCCAGACAAGAAAGGAATGATCTAACACCTGACCATTACAAGTATCATACCAAACCCAGTAATTCATTTTTAGCCTATCAAATTAATTTAACTTATCTCACATTTATCAAGCAACACTTCTCAAATATTTGACTGCAAAGAATACGGTTCAAGAGTTGAAAACTTGGGGAACCATGAGCCAAGCAGTTATCTTTCCCAGTGGCACTCTTATAAAGAGGGAAAAAAAAAAGTTCAGCCAACAAAAATACGTGCTTTCAATAACATTCACTAACTGATATAGGCACACACATTTAAAACTCAGCTATGCTTGCTGAGGAATACACAATTTAAAAGTATGACCTTTTTTCCCCAACACTAAATTAGAATTTATGGCAAGGAAACCAATTACTTCTCAAATAAATGATTTCCTGTTGGAAAATGCTTACATTTTCACTTCAGATTCAGCTATGCCTTTTCTTTACTTCCTATGCCTTGCCAAAAAGTGACAGCACTGTTTAGAGGAAATGTCAAGATTTCAGAACTATGTCATGGAGTTATAACTTTTTTTAAAAAGATGACAGTCCTCAAGGGCAAACAAAATTGTATTATAAATGTGGTTTGAACAATACCAATGAACAACCAGTCAGGTAGGACATCCTATTGTTTAAAGCAGCAATACATTTTGTGAGTACAGTTCACAACAGCACTAAAAAACATCAACAGTGAAATATGTTTCATTCATTCTATCTGAAACATAAATAAGACAAAAGAACTTTAGAGTAAATTAGTTCAAATTGACTTTTTGAGCTGCCTTGAAGTCTATTGATCTAGCATCTATTGAGATGCTATTGAAATCTACTTACCAAGACAAAAGGAGCATTGTGTTAGCAGTATGCCCCTATAGTTAAGATATTCTGTGTTTGCCTTTTATTTATAATTAAAAACCAGATTAAAACAAGCTATTATCTATTTCAAAAGACAGCTTTAAGAAGAAATTCTCAAATGGTTAAGTGCATGAGTCCCATAATTGAATTTAAAAATAGGCCAAGCATCCATTGCATTAAACAGATACAATTTCACTGCAGTCAACTGAACTGGGATTATACCATGCATGATTTAGTTCTAGGAGATCTAGTTCATCCTGAAAGGACTGGTTTAATCTTGCCAAGCATGGGAAGAAAACCATCTTTTGTGAAGGCAGCGAGTGGGATGGGCATATGTTTCTTTTGTTTAGCATGACAACACAGACATCAAAAGCATGCTCTTGCTCCTAATAAATTAATTTCCATGTCATTAGCTATAATTTTCCTCATGTCTTCAGTATGTATAGGTATGCAATATACACATCATAGGAAAAATGTCAGTCTAAGCACACTTTGAGCCTATGGCCTGCCTAAGGCAGTCTTTAGTTATGAGATCATATACAGGTGCCACCTTCCTTTAGGACCTCTGTCCCATGCAGTTTTATTTTGTGCTACCACTTCTCCTGTAATTACTGAACAGCTTGGAAGAGGAGGCGGCACAGGCTGGCAGAAGAGAAAGGACAGCTTTATAGTCAAGGCATTTCAGTGCTGACTTAGCAAATGGAATTCTTGCGCTTAACTGCAGAACTCCAATATGACCACTGGCATATTTGTTAAAGAAAACTTTTCAATTATGTCACTAACTGCAAATTTCTCAAAGGACTTATTTGATTCCAAGGCCCCATTTACTTCTGAGTTGAAAGCTTACCAAAGCAGCTGAAGTCAAGTGAAGCTGTAATTTGAATATATAAAAACTTAACAATGCTGGGCACACTTCCAAGTATGAGATGCCCAAAATAAGACACAGCAAATGATTAGAACATAATTTCTCTCTCTACTTTTGTTCTTAATCTGAAGAGGGCCAAAGACATCTCTTCTCACAGAAGAGTTTTCGAAATTAAACTTGATTAATACCCATGAAGCATTCAGAAACTATAGTAATGGGCACCACTGTAAAGCTTAGAGAGGAATTAGTAATTGTATCTTTATAGCAGGATCTGAATGCCATCCAGTAAATAAGGAATGGAGTAATGAAGAGGAAAATAAAATATTAAACAGCTCTTCTTTAATGAGCTGCATCCACTGTGTGAACTGAATGAGGCAGATGTCCTCTGTTAAAAGAAATTCTCATAATTTAATCAAAGGAAGCATCAGAAAATACAGTTACACAAGAGTTCTGAATAAAACTGCACAGCAAATCTTAATTCTGGCATGCTTATCTTCCATGTGATTGATTTTTGCAGTCCTAATAATACTTCAAGATGTGACAGTTCACTGAAAACACTGAGTCAATGCTCATGTTACAAAGAAACCAAACCGCTCAAGACAGAAGAACATCAGCAATTTTGGGGAAGGGGATAGAGAATGAAACATAAAATGCAATTATGTGGTTATGTTGTAACTTCTCATATACCACACTATATACGTGTTCAAATATTTCCCTTCAATTTGAACACTGCTCTTCAGAAAACATGTATCATAACAAGAAGATATACAGAAGCAGGCGATGGGACAGCAAGAGGTAAAGAATGACTTTCGTATGAAGAAACACTGAGTAGGCTATATGGCTCCACAGATTACAGAGAATTTTATCGTATCTGCTTTAATTCCTCCAAATGTGAATTATACTGGATCAAGCAAACAGCGATTATTCATTATCCCTCCTGACAAAAGAACAAGTAGTAAACTGGATTAGCAAGCACCTGGATGAAGAGATAGCATCCACAGCTGTTAAACACAACAGTGAAACAAATCTGGCTTCAGGCAATCTTCAATAGCAGACAGTCAGGAGACTGGCAGATCTGGCAAGAAGTCTTGCTTTCTACTTGTAAGCATTTCTTACGCTTTTCCCTGGTCCCATCTGATGGACTCTCAGACAAGAGACCAACTCTTGACATGACACAGCCTGGCTCTTCTCAACTGTTTTTGGTACACAGGAGCTTGGGTTTACAGCCAGGTGCACTCAGGAACTGTATTTTCCACCGCTACAGCCAGTTCTAGGTTTTGGCACCAGCAGGGAATGTGTAATACATAATCTCATGTTAGTACATGCTTTAATTTGTAAAATGGTTATGAAAACTTCAAAATAGCTAATCTGCAAGCCCTGTGAGTAGGCAGTGTGCATGCTACAATGCTCACTTGACACGTAGCAAGATGAACACTGACACTTGCTTCTTTGTATTAGGAAAAATGTCACTGATCCAAACTAAGCAGCTGCAGATTAGGATTTTTATATAATGTCAGGACAGTTTAGAATCTATCTGCAGGAATTAACATATAAACTATTACTGGGGCAGTTACTATCGCTGACTACCCACAGGCATTGTTCAAAGAATTATGAAGTTTCAGGGCTGTGCTCCAAAGTTCTCAGTGAGGACTTACATACTGTGGGATTTTGCAGCCAATGTTTGACTGCAGTCATGCCATAAATCAGTTTTCCATTTGGTTGAAAATATTGACTGTACTTGGAAACTTTTTAGTTAGAGCCTTGAGCTTTCATCTGGAACAGTGCTGAACTGCACACTGAAGAGCACAAGTCCATCCGCGTGCTTTGCTTGCTGGTTTTCACACTTCAGATGTTTCTTGAATCAAGTTTTAGTTAAGACTAGTTCCATGAGATTATCATCTAACACTAGCTCATCTCCTTTGCCTGCATTTTTTTCTTAATAAGGCATAGAAACCATGTGTACACAATAAAAACTGACAATTGAGGCAGCGGGGGAGAATGCAATCAAGCTCTAAAATTACATCTTCTCCAATAACATTAACTCTGGCACACCTCATGTATATGTGGTTTATTGTTGTTTTCCTTAATGTATCACCCTGATATTTACTCTGGGTTATAGCCTATATTGTGTCCCATGTGGGCTAATTAATGCTGTGAAAGAAGCCATAGTTCAGATTTTATTGCATTTATATTACTAATTTTTTCATTCTCAGTGTTGCAATAAGGTTAGAGATATAAGATCAGTACAGTTTCAGGTTATTTTTCCTGCCTACTAATACGTGCATCTATCATGAATACATTCAAGGAGCCAGGTTACTATGAGGAACAGGGAGAATTTAAGCATAAGTGAGTGAGTTGGATACATGAAGATACTGCCCTAGGCCTTCAGAAACAAGTCTTCTGGCGACAAAGAACTCCAGACAAAACTGAGTCAAACAATGGGACTCATTTCTAGAACAACCTTATAAACACTTGTCGTGGTTTAAACCCAGTCAGGTTTTGAAAGGAAAAACATGACTGCTACTGCTGAACCTAGGACAACACTTGGGCCAAAGAGCACAGCACTGAGTGGGTATATCACACCCCCTATCATGCACCAGCCTCTGGGATGGCTACAGCTTATTGCACATGGAGAAGCCACACAACCAGGATCTTGGTTTTGCTGAAGAAAGAGAAAAGACAAATTTAAGTACTCTGCTGGTTAGGGACAGGACTGGGCATTTGCCATCTCAGAATCAGGGACTGTCAAGCGGCTGTCAAGCAAGCTACTCTCCCACCTACAACAGAAGTCCCCACAGGAAGGCAAGATTATTTATATATATGAGGTGAAATCCTCCTGTTTCTCAGGAGCAGTAATACAGCTTTTGTTTAATTTAGCATGTTTAAATGGACTAAAGTTTCAGTCCGTATGCATATTTAGGGCCTCTAGCTACATAGAGTGATCATGAGTCAAGTATCACTGGTAGGTAATTCAAAGAGTTACACCTGTACTCCATGTACTCTGAGAGCACTTTGTACTCAGAGGATGAAACACCTGCCTGTTATGCTGGTTTTGTTTAAATTAAATCCCTCAAATTGTATGTCATGGATATACTGCTGATTTGTTAGCATTAACGTGAACACCCTATCAGGTCTGATATGTCAGACACATAATGCTTCTATTTCATTCTTTGAAATCCCACCTGCTGGAGCTATGGCTAATGATGGTACCAAACTTCTGTGGTTCTGGGCAACTGCTATCAGTGTTAGTTTCAAAAATCATCCCAGATTGAGCCACATGGATCAATTTACTATGGGTTTCTCAGCTGCCATGTCTCTTAAAACAGATCACAAACTGCAATTGCTGTTCCTTAGAGGCAAATGAGATCTGCCATCATTGCATCCAGCTCAATAAATGAAGAATGTGAACTCAGAAGGCAGGAGCACAGAGAGATAAATGCCAGCTCCAGCCCCAAACCAACTAAGTATTAAGTCACACATCAGCAAGACTGAACTGCAGCTCAGAACAGAAACAGAAGTGATAGTGTTATCTAGACAACAACCAAAGATTAAAATTGAGGTTACAGCTATAATTTAGTAGTGAAATTACTTATGGATGGCGATCCTCAGGGTTAGCTTCCAGCCGCACTGACACTTTTCAGAAGTGAAGCTCTAATGGTAGCAAGGAAATCCAGGATATCTGTGCTGCATTGCTACTAAGCCATAACAAAGGTGATTTTTTCTAAAACCCCTTAAAATTGTTCTACAGAACAAACACTGCAGATAGACTGAAGTATCTATCTTGTATATGGTGAGGTACTGTTTATAGTCACGTTAATTAGAAGACCTTTTTTGCATCACAGGGACCACCAGTACAGATTCTGGTACCTATGTTACCAAGTTACCCTTGGTCCTCTATTTCTCCAACCAGCTGAGAGCTGAGCAAAGAACAAAATGTAGAGAGCAAAGCACAGAAGAGCACCATTTCTGCTGCCTGCACCAGAAACACGCAGATTCCAGCCTCTTCTGAGAGATGACCTTATGCCATGAAAAATGTGAGCTATTGGTGAAAAATTAAACGACACAGCATTTAAAAGGGCTATGAAAAGCTCACCTTTGTCGATTTTAGGGATTTTACACAGCAAGAAGTATCTGAGCTTCTGCAAAAGCAAAACTTCTTTTATCATGCAGAGAACAGACTAATGAGTCTTGGAGTGAGCTTACTGCCTCTTCCCCATCCAGTATTCAGTTAAAATGCCAAAAATGTATTTTTCTTCACTTTAACTGGGAACACATTAACCTCATGCAGCTGCTGTTATATTTAAATTTGATCCAGCCAAGACTAACATGTTTAGCAGACAAAAAAGACATTTTTCAGGCCTCCAAAAAAAAAAAAATTCCAGCCACACTTAAAAGCTACTTTGATAATACACTTTTAAGGATGAAAAGATCCAATAGAGCCTTTTTTGAGCAACGATAAAAAAATTTACTAACAGAATGTCTAGAGGAGAAGCACCCCAGCTATATGCCTTGAAAAGGAAGGGAATGGAAAGTCAAAGTTTCACTTTTTGAAAATAAATACTGAGTATATGGAAATGCAATTTTCACTTTGCAAACATCTGCCATGCCCTAAACCCCTTTTTAGCATCCAGTGACTGGATAAATCTTGGATGCTTTAGGTACGCAATGTTGCCCACATATAATTTTACGCACAAGAAAAAACAAGTTATTAAAACCCCATCTGCCACCCAGTACAGCCGAAGGCTCTCTCTCCTCAGCACAAGTCATGGAACAGCCAGCTTGAGACTCTAGACAAAACTCTTCGATAAATGCCAGGAAGAGATGGAAGGGTCTGGAAAAAGCAGCAACTCAACTGAAAACTGATCCTCTGCCATTGCCTTAAACTTTGCCCAGGTATTGCTACGCTTTCCATAACTACAGAGTGAGATTCTACAGCACTGGAGAGAGCAGGAAAAAAAACCAACAATCCAAACTCCTATTCCTTCAAATTCAGCATTGGCCTGTCTGCAGCTGTAACAGACAGATACAGCCTGAAGCCGTGTAATTGTGTTGGAACAAACATGCCATTAGAGAGCCGAGTCCAGTGTCTCCCTGACTTCTGCAACCTTTTTCACAATCTTACCAGGCTGACTGTGAAATTATTAGTGCTTTCAGTGTGGCAAATTCTCTTTTGCTACTCACACTGATGGGAACTTTCTACTGAATTTACACAAAGCTCCAACTGGGGGGGGGGGGGGGGCACTTTCTAATCAGTCTCAGCGCAGAATTACAACAGTGTCTAATGAAAAAGGAAGAAAATGAAGTCCTTACCAACTACTAGAATTTCTTAACAACGTTTCCTACACAAGTTTCAATTTCACCTTGGTACTTTCTTGGTCTTGGCTGTAGCATCTTTGAACATTCTTTTTCTTTACATTTTCTCCAATATGCATTTTATTTCCAGTGCTTTATATTTTTCAGCAATGCAAATCATGATCAGAATCTGTCTACAGCTTTTTTTAATTTGAATTGTTCAAAATAAGAAATACAAGCTACAAGCTTGTTTCCCTCTCTTAATAAATGTAGACTCTGAGATTTGTTGTGTTAATTCAAATAATAACAGTTCATTTGAATGTTATCAAATACACCTTCTCCTGTGAAAGAATGAAAATGCTGTGACAGGATGTGCCTAATACTTTTACTTCAATAATAATCACTGTCTTGTTTAAAAAAAAAACCCAAATACAACAAAAAACCCCAGACCACCCTGGAAAAATGCAAACGTAAACCCAATCCTTTCTCTAGCCTAAGAAGTTTGAAAACTCCTCAATCAGATAAACTTGCTTTCTATGCTGGTCAGAATTCTCTTGCTAAACATCCTGGCAGATGCTATTTCTGCCTTGAGAGCTTCAGACAATCCCACCAAGCCTATAAACAACCTAAAATTTTGGTCTAATTCTTCAAAATAGAGAAGTTCTTCAAAATGCAGAAGTTCAGGAACACTTAGATCTAAAAATCTGATGGTAACTCATTTGAAACTTAAATAACTATTCAGCAGTTTTACAATACCATCCAACACAGGGAAGCATAGCCTGACAATCCTGTAACACATTTAGTGGTTAATCATGCCAGGATAGGTATTTCCTCTAGCCTAATGTTTCACTCATAATCACGTTGCCTTATAACTAATTAAAATGAAGATTAAAAGCAGTATTCAGATAACTCAGACAAATCTATTGTACTCTTTTCCAGACAAGATTTTGAGCCATTTGTGAAGATGACACATACCTCCTGCTCTCCAAGGGGCGCCCATCACTAGAGATGCTTCGAGGGATGTTGGCTGCTCGTTCTGGAGGTGGAATTTTCCCTTCTCCTTTCCCAATCCTAGATGTTACTGGACTTTGTATCTGGGATGGTACTTGAGCCACGTGAGGTCCCTGTCCTTTGCTTGCATTTCGCTGCCATTTATTATTATTCCTGAAGGGAAATTTGAATTCATATGACATTCCTTCATTCACTTTGTATTCCATCACTGGCATACGGTAGTTTTCTGAAGAACTCCTGGAAATGAAGAAATTTAACATGCTGCTATAAAAAATAAAATATATCCTGCTCACGAGGACAGAAATCTAAAGACAGAAGCTGAACCAATTCTATGAAATAATAAATGTAAGATTTTGGTTTTTATAAATATATTTAACAAATTTTAGAATCACAGATCTATAGAATTGTTTAGATTGAAGAATAACATTGAGTCAGATCGAGTCCAACCCATCACTGCCAAGTCTGACACTAAACCATGTCCCCAAGCGCCACATCTACATGTCTTTTAAACACTGCTAGGGATGGGGACTCAACTGCTTCTCTGGGCAGCCTGTTCTAATGCTGGACAATTCTTTTGGTTAGGAAATTTTTCCTAATATCCAGTCTAAATCTGCCCTGGCACAACCTGAGGCCATTTCCTCTCACCCTATCACTTGCTTTTCTTGGCAACCAGGGCACACTGCTGGCTCATATTCAGCTGGCTGTTGACCAAAACCCCCAGATCCCTTTCCTACCAGGCAAATTTCCAGCCACTCTTCCCCAAGCCTGTAACACTACATGAGGTGGTTGTGACCCAAATGCAGGACCTAGCACTCAGCCTTGTTGAACTTCATACAACTGGCCTTGGCCCATTGATTCAGCCCGTCCAGATCCTTCTGTGGAACCTTCCTACCCTCAAGCAGATCAACACTCCCACCTAACTTAGCGTTTGTCTGCATATTTACTGAGAGTGCACTCGATCCCCTCATCCAGACCATTGACAAACATATTAAACAGAACTGGCCCCAATACTGAACCCTGGGGAACACCCACTTATGACCAGCTGACAACTGGATATACTTCATTCACCTCAACACTTTGGGCCTAGCCATGCAGCCAGTTTTTTACCTAGGAAAGAGTACATCCATCTGAGCCATGAGCAGCCAGTTTCTCCAGAACAATGCTGTGGGAAATGCCATCAAAGGCTTTACTCAAGTCCAGGTAGACACCATCCACAACCTTTTTCCCTGATTTGCCGATTTGTTCACTTTATCACAGAAGAAGGTTAGGTCAGTCAACCAGGACCAGCCTTTCATAAGCCCACACTGACTGGCCCTGATGACCTGGTCATCCTGTACATGCTGCACAATGGCACTCAGGATGATCTGCTCCATAACCACCCCCAGCAGCGAGGTCAGACTGACAAGTCTGTAGTCCTCTGGATCCTCTCTCTGGCCTTTTCTGCAGATGGGTGTCACATTTACTAACTCCCAGCCAGTTGGCACCTCCCTGGTCAGCCAGGACTGCTGAGGAATGATTCAGTGAGCACTTCTGCCAGCTCCCTCAGTACCCTGGGTGGACCCCATCTGCCCCCATAGACTTGTGTGCATTTAGTAGTGTAGCAGGTCCCTGACCATTTCCCCTTAGATTACAGGGGCTTCATTCTGCTCCTCATCCTCAACTTCCAGCTCAGAGGGCCGGATACCTGAAGAACAATGTCATACTATTAAAGACTGAGGCGAAGGTTGCTAATAACTGGAAATTCCAAACCCCAAAGATGGCCATTGCTTCCTGAGGAGGTACAGGAACAGGAAATAAAACAGGTCATTAACTAATGCTGTCCACACAAGATACAGGGCAAACTTCTGTATGCATTTAAAACGAAAGATTTGGAAAATATATGTGACCTTCATCTTTAGTGAGGATAATTTTGGTATTTCTCTTGACAAATGCATATACCTCTATTTAAGTTAATTTCTTATTGTGATTACTTTATCTGCACATCGTTATCTAATGGGAAGGAAAAAAATAATCAGTGCAACATTTTCTACTTCTAAACCACCCTCTAAGTGATCATACCATTAATTTTGACAAATATCACTTATCTCTTCCCAGCTAAAATACAAAACAAAACAGGTAACTTGTCTACGCTGACATTAGCAAGTTGCAGAGTTTAACAGAAGTAGGCAAAGTGTAACAGTTGGTTCTGAGGTCTTACTGTCCACAATATTCACATTTTGTGGTTTTACTTTGGCCTACCCTCTAGCCTTGACATGCAAATCAAATTACAGTCAGAAAGCATGAGGTGTGGTGTGCTTCTGAAGCACACATAGTTCAGCTTCATCTGAAAGGGAATTCTTGTGTGCTCTCAGGCCACTCTGTGATGTCAACCACTGCACAGCAGATGGGGATGAATGGGAGATTTCTTTTTAAAGTCCACTCACAACCCAACTAAAATCTTTATTCCCTTATTTTTTCTCTTCATATTTTGTGTGTCTGCTATTATTTCCCTATGGATTACATGCTCTAGTAAGTCTGCGTTTCTTTTTTTCTTTTCCAGACATAATTACAGTTTGAGAAGCAAGAATACACAACATCCTCTTGCTGCCGTACCACTAACTTCAAGGTCAGCAATAAGTCCACTAAATGACTTCAGTAGCAATATTAAAATGGTCATGTAGAGAGATATAACCATAACAATGCATGCCTCTGTAGGGCATTAGATTATGAATCAGAGTATTTGGATATAATTTTGTACCTGCTACTGACCTTGTACAGTGCCTGCTGGCAAGACATCTTATTTAACTGCACCCCTGCTCTTCCTCTAACTTCATGCCAATCATTTCTTTGCCAACCAATTTACTAGGATAGCGACTGCTTCTTACCTGAATGTACTATACCAAGCAGAACTGATTTTCATTTTAGTTACAGTCTGTAGAAGTTACTGTAGTAGAAATACTAAATGATCTCCAGAGGACACAACGAAAGGACTCCAATTTTGGAAAACTGCCAAAGGAGAAATTGCTCTGTGCAAAGACTTTAGTAGAATCCCTAGTAACATATGTAGAATAGCTACAAAATCAAGACACAGTTCCTAAACCTTAATGATTTTGGATACAGCAAACAGGACCAGGAGTTGCTTTCTGAAATTTTATAACTAGGCAATAACCAACCATGAACATTTGATCACTTGTCACTACAAGACAAAACTCACTGATGCTGAGTACAGTATTTCAAAAAGTGCAGTAATTTCTCTTACTGCCATTTGGATCCACTAAAGCTAAGCCTGCTTTTGGCTGTACTTAATTTAGTTCAGGAATAATAGGAGCTGTGCTTTCCACATATATTTTTCTGCTCTAATCCTTTTGCTGTGATTGCAGCTGAACTTTCCATTTGCTTGGGCTGCTAAATACTGTACAAAAGCTTTCCAAATACCTCATAGGTGACCTTATGCCACTGCTCATTTAATCCCTGACATGTATTCAATTTTCCACTGACAACTAAAGGACAAATAAACCATTTCTCTCCCTCCCACTTTGCTACCAGTTGCAAATGGAGTTAATATGGCTCACAGTAAAAGCAAACATGGATTCTTCTCTTATGCAAGCACAAGGTCTTTGCTTGGAGACACAATTTCATAGTAATGTAATAAATATGCATTTAAATTCAGCTCAACCTTAAGCACATAAAGATTTAGCATCTACCCCTACAAAGACACTGCCTGATTAGAATACGGAGTGCAAAATGCTCTCTCAGTCTCTCACTGCAAGGAACACACTGAACTTGGATAACTGTACTTGCTTCTTCTTGGCAAACCAAGCATAAACCTTGAGCTAGCCCGTAGGCAAATTTAGTCTATTAAAGATCATCCCATTTTAATCATATAGCATTTGAAAGATATTAATATAGGATGCCAGGAACACGGGAATCAGATTCAGTGATGTGGCTGATTGCTACAAACAACTGCAGAGAGCTCAGATGGGAGCAGTAAAAGTTGTGAAAAGCTTTAGTGTGAGTTCAAGAAAAAAAATAAAATGGAGTGACTTGATGTCCAATGTCGGAAAAAAAAAAAAAAAAAGCACTATTGCTGCTTATTTCCCATTAGGCAACATTTTAAAGCTATAAAAGCAGTAATACAATTGACACAAGCTTCAGGCTTAACACAGATGGGAACTGAAAGAGATGCAGCAAGATCTGCTTCTAAAGAAGAACTACAATTTGCAGTGATTTCTCTGGGCAGATCCATACCTTTGATAAACTCTTACCATCTACAGCCTTACTTATTTGTGAAACTAGAACATAAATCTATTCATAGCTTTCAAGAATTACATCTGCAGACACTGCAAACTACCAACAAAAGGGAAATCAAGGAGGGAAATGTACAATTAATTTTGATGCATCATAAACACACAACTGTCAACAAAAGGTTGATTTCCATGTGTTAAATTTCATGGAATTTAAAGGATACACGAGGTTCCTTGCACATTTTATTAAGTTGTAATATTCAGTATTCATATTCTATGGAGCACGGAGTCTGAATATGGGCAGTTTTTCCTGTCCTTCTCCTTCACCTTACAAAACTGGATGCTATATTAAAATTACACCATGAGTTCTGAAGCCTGCTTTGGGTTCTGTGGTGTTTGTCTCTACCACCCCCTTCCCTGACCCCACAAATCGAGATGTAACTTCAGACCACATGCAGCTACTACACAATACCTGCGTGGTGTGCAGTCCTCATACGGGGGGACGATGACGACCTTCACTGTGACTGATGTTCTGAGAAGATCGATCATTTGCTCGTGGCTCAGAGTGGCTACAGCCACCTTGCAAATTTCCACCAGTCGACTGCCTTGCCGCAGTCCTGCCTGCCACGCGTAGCCATAGGGCTCAACATCTGCCACAATGCCTTCATAGTTTACATGGAAACCAAGCTGACCCAGGCCATTCCTACGCAGAGTCATCTCCACTGTTTCACAGCCCTTAGTCACAAGCTATAAATTGAAATGAAGACAGAATTTAATGCATTGAGAGATCTTCAGCTCTAGTAAAGGTTTAAAGCCTCCATTTCTGTTCAATCAACCAGCTCCCCAAGACAATGTGGGGGACACGATCAAGGAATATATAGCATAGTCTTGGGTACGTAACAGCTGAAATAGGTCTTGTCACTCAAACTAGTATTTTCATTAGAGTTTGATTACCCAAGTTCTGCCTGGAAACTTTTGCTGAAACCACAAGAAGCTTAGAAGATACATGGCAGCACACAATGGAAAAAACACACGAAGCTACACAAGCATCTCTATCTTTTATGCTTTAGTAACCAAACAACCATTTTACATTTCTAGCTGTTTCAGCTAGAACTGCAACATTACCTTCAACTAGAATGTGCTGGCAGCTACTAAGCATACTGAGGTCTATGCCAACTCTTCTATGCACTCATGATCATGAATACTGCCAAGAGGAATTTAATTAGTCCTGGCTTTCTCTTTTTTTTTTGGTCATTATACAAATACAGTTGTGAAATTTTAGGAAAGACAGTGAAACATAACACATTCTTTTATAACTGAACTGGATAAAAATAAGCATAGACAGATTATTTTATAAAGAGATACCATGATTCACTACATTTTTAGTTTATCACATGCATTCAGAGAATATCTGAATGTTGCAATAGGGATTGGGACTGCACTCTGCTGCAAATATAAGTCAGTCTCAAAGATATAACAGCTTCATTTGAAACAAGATACAACATGCCTATAAAAGTGAAAGGGGAGGTAAACAAGGAAAAGAAATAAAGTGACGCTTCTGTGTTTACTGTGCGGGAGCAATTTATGCAATTGAAGGCCCTCAGTTTTGTTGTTTTTTTTTTTTTATATGGAATCATTTTTGAGACACACATAACAACCAGCTGAGGTTGGCTGATATCTGATAGAAGAAGAAGAAGCAATAATTGCATTTTGAGAAATAAAAGCAGGAAAGCCCTTACAGATTTCATGATAAACAGAACAATTTCAGGGAACCCAAGCATTACTTAAGTTGAAGCCTTTCCTGGCAGTGAGGTGAGAGAAGAAAGCAAAGAACTGGAACCAAACAAGAGAACACATTCTAACCTCCAGCCTTTTGACGATCTCTTTGATATCATCAATGTTGCTGATTAAGCTCTCCAAAGAAACACATTCGCCCCTCTCATAGAATATTTTGATGTTTGTGTCCGTTGAAGTCCACCCTATCACATCTCGACAGGAGCAGTTGAACACCACGCTTTTCGTGTCCTGTTCAATGAGGACTACAAACTCATTAGAGATGCCTAGGAGACAGTCTATTTCCATACCCTTGCTGTAGTCTTTTGCATGGACACTCCATACAATAGCACCAGAACTATAGATCTCTGCTCCTGGGTAAGGCTTGGACTTTTCTTTCTTTTTTGAAGCAAGCGAGATGAAGGGGAACTTGCCAGAAGGGTCAATAGGTGTGTTTGTGACATTCTTCTCTGCCAAGTCTTTCAAGTACTCTTGACGGGTCCTGGTGGCCATCGCACGAAACTTCTCTGATTTATGAGCAGCATTTTCTGCATTAATGACTTTGGCTAGTAAGAAGTCCCTGAACACATTTGATTTAGGAAAAGTGACACCTTTCGGAATAGGTGGACCAAAGGATGGTACATCTCTGGATCTTGTCACAGCAACACTAAAAGAAAAAAATAACAAGGAAGAAGCAGAGACTTTCACTGTATGCAAATTCAGCAGGTTCTGAATACAGAAAATACATTTCCTTTTTTCCTTAAACTCTGAATTTTTCTTTTCTCAGCAATATGTGATATTTACATTTTAATGCTGCCAGTATGGAGAGGATGTCCACCCTCTTTACTGTATAAACAGAAGGCCACTTATTTTTGCATCTAGGTATTTTTGAGTCATTCTCAATACCACAGCTAAAAAAAAGCTTCAAGTCCAAAATTGTGGGGTTTTTTTTGATAATCATTCAAGTATGAGAGTTCAGAATTTTGTTTGTTTTTACTAGAAACAGAAAAATTCTAGCACTATTACAAAGGCTAGCTTATAAAACTTCGCTACCTAAAGTTGAAAGGCTCATCTGGAAGCAATGTGAAGTCTGTGACCAATAGCAGAAATATAGATAAAATAGACACATTAAAAAGATAGAGACAACACAATCTCACAAGGCCAGTTTCACTGTGAGAACTGTCTTGCCAACTGAAAGCATATATACATCACACTAATAAATATGTTTTAAATTTCTGACTGAAAACTACACCAACTAATATTGCAGGCAAGTGATAGAAGCAGAATCAAGAAATACTACAACTAAGAAATTTCTTACGAGTTTGGAGACGTATATTAGAAATAGAGGCTTTCTTTTTCAACTCTTCCTTTTACTTTCCATAAGAAGTGATGGACTGACAAACAGACTGCCTCAGGCAATGCTGACAAACTTAGCTACTCTCCCTGGTCAATTCCCTTGATACAGAATGGATGAGAGTTGTTTGGTAACACTGAAGATTCCGCATCACTCAAGATTTGCCATCAGAGTCCAGTATCAATCAGTCTGTCAGTCTGTCCCAAGAAGACACTGTAGTTCCCCAGTTTTGTGACAACAAATGCTCCAACAGTTCAGATATGATTTACCACATATCTGTAACTGCATCTGAAAAAACATAGCCAAAATCTGGCCAAAATATCATGGCAATGGAGTTTTATAAAGAAAAATGGAAGAGGACTTGAACACTAGTAATGTATGCGGTGTTTTATTTGGAAGACTGGTATTATTTTTAACTTTGTTCTAACTTATCTGAATCCTTAATCATAATTCTCCCCCCTTTTACACCTTCCCAAACTGCTAACTGCAGAAATACTAGTGAAGATTGGAGGAAACACACAGGAACACCAAAAATAAAAATTAAGTCACCCAATTTTTAACCATATCGCCTGGGTGGCAGGTGGCAGAGTGTTTTACTTGCTTTGGATTTGTTGTTTGTTTTTTATTTTTAATTATGTTTTCTGGCAACTGATATTCAAAGATGTCATATTTCCTTCAAATGTATGCTAATGTATCTAAAAGTACACAACGGGGGGTGCTCATGATGCATAGCCATGATCTGACTCTTGATCATCTTCAGTAGTCATAAAGGAAGTGCTATTAAGAGACAGAAGCCTACGCATTAAAGCAAAATTACTGAATGTAATGAAAAACTACCAGTGACATTTTGTTTAATTAGGTTTTCATTATCATGATCACGGCGGTAAGAATTTAATTTATAACAACTGCTAGTGAAGTTTTGAAACGTGAACAATGCTGACAGAGAAGCCAGACCTTTGAAATATTGTTTATCTTAGTTGGGAGGAAGAATCACTGGCCAAGACAGTGCTTGATTTTATTCTTTTTATGTAGTTTTTAATATAAAAACCAGTACATTTTTTTTGCAACAAGGCTTCCTGTTTTGTCTAGAATTATGAATCTATGAAACTGTTCCAAATAATTCAGTTAAAAAAGAGGTCAAACTTAGTTTGAAAAGTTTCCTAGAAAAACTTTTCATAATGGAGTTCTACAAATTTAAATCAAGTCTCTGCACTAAGAGGACAAAAAAAGAAAAAAAAACTGAAACATATGTCTAAAATTTTAAGAACAAGGTATGCCCACATAAATTATGTAGCTGATAAATTTGTCAATAAGCTGCCGTAAAATGAGTATCAACATGAATGTGCCTACTCCAGCAGAGTTTAATATATGTACAAACATCAGCATCAGTTCCACAAGTTCTGTATGAGCTTTACCAAAAGCTTATGGAGAGTGAAAAGCCTTTAAATCTTACTATAACTACTTTAAAAGAATGAGTAGACCATCTCAGATACTGCAGTCTTACCTCTTCCTCTAAATAAGCAGCTGACTGAATGATACGCTTAGGTGAACATTTGTATTTCAGTAAAGACTAGTTAATTCTAAGGCTACTTCATGCAGTCCTTTATTATATGTTACTAGCAATTAGCATTTTCTATTTTAATAATACTAAGTTTAAGGTCACACTAAGTGCCTTTTTTTTTTTCTGTATAATGCTCTGGAATTTCTTTGTCAGACTGAAGTAAGAAACGAAGAAGCTCAGACAAAACATTTCAGAGAGCTTAGCTTTGTTCTGAAAGGTTAGTCGTACTTTTTCACTGTCTTAATTTCAAAAAACAGAATGTAAACTCCTGCATAAATTATCAGAACAAAAAGTGAATTCATAAGAATCAGTACAGAAGTACTCTTCTAGCACATTCTTAATGAAGAAGATAAAAAGGAAGTGAGAACAAATTTGAAAATAATTCACAAATTTTTTATATATGCATACATACATACATATATACACACATAGTGTGTGTATACTTATATGCTAAAAGCATCTATTTCCTTTTAGAAAGTGTTCTAAATTCACACGAACAACAATCCAATCCCTTGACCCCTACCTTTCATTAAGTTTCTCTGCTGAGAATTTAAAAGAGGACTGACACCTCCCTTCGCACTCAAATTCCATGTTTTCATTGAAACTAGCAATAGCTACCTGTAACAAACGCTGTCAGTACAGGGACCGTGCACTCTTACAATGACAAAGACATGCTGGAAGTGAGATCGAATGTTCTTTGGGCTGAATGGTTGTGCTCCAGGCTCCTGGAAAACTATTGTCACAATATCATTTCCAATATGTCGTTTTCTTAGAAGCTTTAACAAAAAAAGATGCATATGTTAAAACGCAGCCGTTTCACAATTTTCAATTATTTATGTCTCATTATTATAGATAATGGGTTTTTTATTCCAAATGAAAGCTGAAACATGAAACAGTTGAGGATATGACAAGTACCAGAATTTTAGTTATTAACCTAATAAATTTCAGTAAAAAAAAAAATAATGACATGGGCATTTTCGTAACAATTTAATTCCTACATGTAATATTCAGTAAGATTGTTTTGGAAATTTTAAAGCTAAGCAAAAAGGAAAAACAACAATAAAACCTGCTAGAATCAGTGTAAATCAGTGATACATGGAAGGTGGAAGACATTCCCCACTTTACGTATTTCTACAAGCCAGAAGCAGGTTCTATTTCAAGTTGAAAATAGTGGTCACTAATCTTAAGACACGTTATAATAATTTTCTGACAGGACTATTTCAGTAAATCCAAGACTATAGGGGAAGAGAAAGTAGATGAAAGAAACATTTACTGTACAAAAGAAAGCTGGAAAGTATGCTGTGTTACCTTTTATTGTCAAAGGTTATTTCTATTTTACTTGCAGAAACACAAAATAATATTGATTCTAGCATAAAATGCATGCATCTCATACGCAACAAGATGGACTAGTATTTAACAAGATCAGGTACTTCAGAGTGCCAAAGCAGGTTAGCCTATGTGTCTCTTCACTATAATAGAAAAATATTAAAAAAAAGGTATTTTGTCTCATGCTTTCCTGTGTAATGTGCTGGACAAACTGATTCTGTGCATGTTAAAGCTCCTAAATGCAATCCTTAAAGTTCAATGTGTTTTGCTAAGGAAGGTTAAAAATCACGTCAAGTACACGATGTTCCTTTTGACATAAGGCATGAACTCTATCTAACAGAGATGTGCTACTGACATTATTGTATATTTACGTACAAGTTTCAGTAAATAATGCGTAATTAAATAGAAAACAGTCTTGGAGAAAAATCTACCAATGATGTACCTACAACAATCTGCTTTGCTCATCTTCCCAACACAGAGATGGCAAGTTTTGATACTTTTGATTCTTTGAGGGTTTTCTTTGCTAGTAATAAACGGAAGTTGTCAATAGTGTTCAATAGCTCAGCTACTCTGAGATGAAAGAAAAGTTAATTTTAATTAGGCATGGTCTATTTTACCTGTTGCTTGTTGTTTGGAGTATATGGCAACATAGTTGAAACGTGGAACATGATTTCATAGTCCTTGTATGTTGTATATAGAGAGTGAGTACCTGTTGAATCAGCTGCAGTTAAAGAAAAAAAGAATAAAAACATTATTTTAAGATGTTTAAGAACAAAGTTTCCTTATTTTCAAAGAAAATCATCAGGCAAGGCAAGAATTATTACTTCCTTGATCGCAGCTGAAACGTCAGCAAGTAAAAACTTAGCCAGAGTTTATTCACCTGCCAAAGAAAATGACACATATAGATGGCAAGTATCATTTTGTATACTTTTCCCAATTAAGAACTTGTTAGGAATAGGAATTGACCAGAAAACATTTTAAAACAGCCTATTTAAGAATGAAAAGTGGTAACAAAGTCTGAAATAATTTTCAGACACCACCCACTATCTCAGGCTAACCAGAACAAAACTGAACTGTAAGGAATGTGAAAAGGGCTTCAGAAGGAAAGGTAGATACTGCAAATGAATACCACAATCTCATGCATAATTAAATATCAATGGACATATAACCCACAATATATGAAAGAAAAGAATGGGTTCTTTTAAACTGAAGTATCAGGACTCTAAATGAACTGTAATGAAGTCAGAGAAAACTTTCACTAAAACAGGTGCTTTGTGGATAGAAACAGTCAAAAACCCAAACAGGACGCTAGCATGCTGACAATACAGCTGATGATGGAAAAAGCCCACAAGAAGACATTATGATGCTGGTATATTAATCAAAGGTAGTCTCACCTGTTTTGGTTCTAGCCACCCTGTTTTAAAAGATACAGAAGAAAGAGAAGGGATCCAGAAAAAGGCCACAAAAACCAATTATATGTGGATAAAGAAACTTCCATGTGGAGAAAAGGTGATAAAAACTGGGATTATGAAGTTTAGAAAGAAAAAAAGAAGAGGCGATATTATTAGAGTTTACAAAGTGTTGGTTTTAGGCAACACTTTATTACAGACAAATTGGGAACTTCTGTTTTTACTTTTTCTTTTCTCAAAAATAAGACCTTGAAAAATGTTCCATGAATTTAAGTAGTAACACATTTAAAGCTGAAACAGTGAACGTGTTCCATTATATTTAACTTCTGTCCACTGTGCAAAAAGCCCGTTTTCAAACAATTTTTAAAAATAACTAGATTTATATATGGAAAAAGCACCCTGGTTATTTGAAATTATAGAAACACGCTACTATATTATATAATCTCAGCTATTTATAGCAAAGTATTTTTAAAAGCTGTTAAATACTACACCTTGGCATTTTTTATTAGCAGAGAGATCATGTTACTATGGTGATAATAGCTCTTAGAATGCTGAGGCATTTACAGTAAAATAAATATACAGTTTATTTACCCAGATTTTGGGTATAAGCTTTAGCAAGAAGTTTCACTTTTCTGTCAAATAAAACAGGAGTAATTTTGCTGTAAGTGAAAAGCCACAACATCCTCAATAAAATGGAGGGTCTTCTAGATTCTACCTGCACAGAAATTTTGCAACTCCAAATTATCTATAGAGAAAAAAGGGGGGGTGGATCCTGGAATCTTATTTGAAAAAACAAAACAAAACAAAAAACAACCAACCAAAAACCCCACATAGTTCATGTTTCAATAAGATTGGGATCCCTTTGCCCCAACTCAAAGTTGCCATTATGAAAATCTAGCTAACTGCTAAATATCTTCTTTTTAATGCCAATTACAGCAAAGGGACAGCTGAAAGGGAGCAATTTCATTTTACACTCAGTTCACAGCAGCCTCTATCCTCTGCCTGAACACTACAGTGCACACTGAAGGAGACAGATGCACCTGAAAGTCACCTAAACATCAGCATAAGACCTTACTGGCTTTTGCCCAACTGCAAATATGCTGACTTGTGCATTGCCTTTCATAATTAGAGCACTCAAAAAATATAACAAAGAACTGGGTTGAGGCAGCTGGTGTGAAAAGAAAGGGAAGTGGGTAAGAGAGATGAGGAAGGGGCCCAAAAGGGGTTGAGGTGAAGAAGAAAATAATAAAGCAAATCTGACAATATATATGGTACACCACCTATGCATTTAAGACAAGCTTTCAATGTTCCTGGATGGACTTCAGTTTCAGGCAGAAGAGGGTTCTCAGAACAGCACTGGTTCTGCAAACTAAGCAATAATGCTACAATGAAAATGATTTAATGATTCATAGAATCATAGAATTGTTAGGGTTGGAAAGGACCTTAAGATCATCCAGTTCCAACCCCCCTGCCATGGGCAGGGACACCTTACGCTAAATCGTATCACCCAAGGCCTCATCCAACCTGGCCTTGAACACTGCCAGGGATGGAGCATTCACAACCTCCACGGGGAACCCATTCCAGTGCCTCACCACCCTAACAGGAAAGAATTTCCTTCTTATATCCAAGTACTTCACAGCTTAAATCCCTGTTATTCAAATCCAGCTACAGAAGTCTATATCCACTAGAGACTGTGCATCTTTCTCATAATTCAGATTTCTTCTTCCTTACAAATCTAGAATACTTCTGATGTATATCACAGTAATTACAGGTCTAGCATTATGTCAAATCACTGCCATTGCAGTAATATCCAAGACTGCACGCTGGCATAATATCCGTTATTTCAAGGTCAGAAGTGGAAGCCAGCACTGCAATATACTTTGATCTCCTTGCATTTAACAGAGGCCCAAAGGATCTAGAAATTCATTAGCACCTTTTTATACTGAAGACATCCCCTCCTGCTCTCAGTTTATGGCATACCTATTGATGCTGCCTTCACAGTCTCGTCCCATTGCTGGATTTGGTTACTTAGCTGATCTTTTCCTTCCACCATTATTCAGTTTTAAAAATCCACCTTATTCTCCTGTCTTTCCAATGTTTCTCAGTTATCTTCACAAGGACTGTCTTAACAGTTTCCTGTTTAAGTGTTTTTTCCAAAACCAGCAGTGCTCAGGACTGTGACTGACACCAGCAGCATATGGTTGATATTCACTTCACTGAAGCCACAGGGCGTTATCAGCCTGCTTCTACAGCAGGTCTTAAAACCTTTGCACTAGAAAACTGTGTAAAAAAGAGTACAAGTAGGAAATCTAACCTATTGTTTCGAAGAACTTGCAAGGAACTGCAGGAAAACAAATAATAAAAGATACTGATGAGGCAGGAGAAGGAACAGCCATTGCTACAAACTGGAGCAGTGCTCACAATTAAAGGCTCAGACCCAAGACGTTTCAGAGCTTAATGTTCCCCATTTATCTCTGCTGTTAAAAAGTCCTGCTTTATTTCTAGTTTCTCCTAGTTATTGGCCTGTCAAAGCAGTTCTCATTTCTGTTATATATGAGGATTACACCAAGCACTCACATTCAACTTATGTAATTTCCAAGCCATTTTTAGACGCTACCCTTTATTTTGTATCATACAAAAGTATATGTACAACATAAACAAAGAAATGCAGATGGACTTCCACACACCCCCATTTAAGTTTCTTAAGCAGTCAAGGGCCCTCTGACCTCCTTTGGCTATACGTCTTCCTTCCAGTGAATTTCTTAGACCCAGCAGTAAATTCTTCCACCCAGTTGGAAAGATGTCAAGTAGTACAAATTAAGAAATTACTCTTATTAATCTGTATTATTTCATTCGAAACATTGGGACTTACTGAAAACCCCTAATAGAAACGTCAACTTGGATTCCGCTAATTCCCTAGATTTTAATCTTTAGTATCTTCGGTGCTGCACTTATATTCTTCTTCTCATGTCTTGACCAGAAAGTCACACAGTATAAACATCTAATAAAGAAGCCTACTATTATTAGCCACCTTTATAATCTCATCAAATAGATAATTCAAACTCACATTAATTAAATCTTCATTTCCTGCACCACTCTGCTGGACACACACACCAGACTACCAGGCCTAGCATTATCTAGCTGGTCCAATTTACCAATTTAAAATATTGAGAAATAAGACTAAGTAAGGGGGAGGGAAATAAAGCATGTATTACAACTAGGAAATAAAGTAAAGTAATTGAAGTTATAATTTGAAAGATTGCTATGATGTTTATTACTTTAAAGTGATACCCATAAACTTCCTAGCAACCATGGGATACATGACATTTTCAAGCTCTATTTCCAATCCAAAGTCTGCAGGCTGCCAGGAGATACTGTTTCCCCTCTGGTAATTCCAGAAATATACAAACAAATCTTTAAAAGTAGCAGCTCTTTCACAGTGGCACTGGCAGAGATCCAAAGCTAAAGCCCTTGAAGAATCCAATATACTTAAATAGGCTTTCAGTTAACAGGATGCATGAGATCCCTCCTTTTAAGAATTGTCTCTGTTACAGATACTTACCAATTAGGCCCCTAATTCTAAAAATTACCAAGAATAACAACTGTTCTGAAAGTGACTTTTGCTGGAACAATTTTACTTTTCTGAATTTGCATAAATAAAAAACATCTTGTGAAAATTTGCAGACTAGATACATAAATCAGCTTCCCCACACAATGAGAAAATCTTTCATTGTGCCTTACACCAACCATCTGCTTTTCATAGGTTGCAAAGTATTTTCAAAGGCATAGGAACTAGCAAAGTAGCCTACACAGCTCTGACCTTTCTCACAAGTTAATGAACAGACATTTTTTTTCTAAGAGCATCTTTGCCATTAACTGTGCTGACATTGAACAGAATTTTTATGCAGGAAAATTTCCTGAGCAGTAACTATTTTATTACAGAGATCTCTAGCAACAGAAGAGCACAGAGCTGGAAAAGGGAAAAGCTTGCTTCCTAGCTGCAGATCTAGCTGTTTCAACAAAACCCCATAAACTTAAGTCACAGTAAGGACCACAGCCATATCCTCTGCAGGCCTTTCTGTGTTTCTGCCAAGGGAGAAAGGACTGATTACTTAAGTGTATTGCCCATAGAATCACAGAACAGCTAGAATTGGAAAGGACCTTAAGATCACATAGTTCCAACCTCCCTGCCACCTACTCTGCTGTTCAAATACTCCCCATGAGATGCAGCTGTTGCTACCATCTCTGGTCTTTAGCCATTTGCCTACTACAAGGTGACACCCCCCACTTTTCCTATGCAGAATATGCAATAAGGGTTTCTGAATGTAGCTATCCGAAGAGCTTAGTGCTGGGCCCCCTTTGCACACTGGCACAAAGAAAAACAGCACCACCAAGATTAACTGCACGAGTTTCTTGCCACTGTTCACATTTGCTGCTGTCTAAACTTCCTTGCTAAAAACTCATGTATGCATGTTTCCTTGGTAAGCCTGCAGACAGCATAACCTGAAAGATTTCAGATAACTTGGAAGTTCCTAAGCAGTTCTAGCTGATGAGGTCCCATGTATGTGAGTGTGTAAACCCTGACTGAAAGAAAATGTAGAAAACCCTTCATGAAAGCAGCAGTTCCACTCAGAGCATCCCCTTTTCTCTCCAATCACAGTGAAGTGTTCAAGTAAAGCCTATCTGTATTTTTAGATATAGAGCTGGTAGGTCTACTGGGCAACATGAAGAAGACATGTCAGCTCTCAATACCATGTAGAAAACATTTGTTACAAGACCACCACTCTTAAAACCATGGGAGATTCAGTCAAATAGAAGTTTACGTACCTATCCATTCAACAGGCACTATATTGTAGTACATAAGACCAAACCTGACACATTTTTTTTCCAAATGTAAGTGGAAAATTCTGCTGTTTAGAAGAAAATTTCCAACAAGTACTTTGGACACAGTTACACAGTTACAGCTTTCATGGGTATATCCGAACAGATGAATCAACTCTTAATCATACAGTATTTACATGTACTAGAAAACTGTGCAGACTGATAGCAAAAAAGGCTTGTTTTTTTTTTTCTCAGATGCCTTAACCAGAAATGAGGGGAGAGAAGATTTTACTTTATCTACTGAAAGTAATAAAGAAGGTCACAATATAAAGCCAAAAGCTATGAAATGATAAATATTTTCTGCTTTCCATAAACTTTTGATTTTTGACCTAGCTTATTTTCATAACTGATAAAATAACACTTGGGGGCTTCAGGAAAGAAAAACCCATACAATATATTTCCAGTAAAGGCAAAAAAATGTTGCAGCAAACTGCCTGGATCTCATCTGGAACTGTGTATATAATCCTAGCCACTAAAATGGAAAAGACTGAATTCAAACTTGGATGAGTGCAGAGGAAAGCTACCAAGTAATACAGCATATGTGTGTGTGAACAGCAGAGAAATCCATGCCTCATACCATGAAGAGAGACTTGGCTTATTAAGGATAACAGCACAAAAGTATAGAGGATACACAACTGCAACATGTAAATGCTCTCAAGGGAGTAAATACAACAGAGGGAATATAAGTATTGTAACTAAAGGAAACCAGGCTCAGTGGTAAATGTGGGAGAAATGGCTAATAAGTTAGGTTAAAAACAACAGGAAGTTTTATAACCCTCTGATGATTAGGGAGATCAAGAACAGCCCAAGGAGATGGTAACGTGATCCCTGTAAGAATGAAGGCCACAAAGTGGAACAGTGGAGCAGTAAAGCAGAGCAAATTACTCTATTCACGATAGGAGACCCGTGACAAGAGCACAGTTTTTGCTGCACAGAGCTGATGAAAGCTTTTCAGCTTTTATGAATCAGCTCCTTATTGAATTTCCTTTGCTGCAAGTGAGCAAAATAGCAAAAGATTTCCATAGTAACTGGTTACTTTTAATACTCAGAGAAAAAGAGGACAGGTCAAAATTTCGCTGTGTATTTTAAATTATTCACAAATTGAATATAGAACATGCTAGCCGATAAACAGGTATTTCACAAGCTTGATTCCAAAAGCAGGGAGTTTCTTTTATAGATACTGTCAAAGATTATCTTTTCACTGCAATATGGTTTGCAGTTAAACCTGATAACTGCCAATTCCAGATTAATTTCCATAACTCAAAAGAAAAATCATAAAGGGAGGAAAATATTGGATAGCACAAGTAAGACAAAACTGCTTAGAAGGAAAACTACATGCAACAGACACAGCAGAAAAGCAATGGATCAGCTTGTCAAGGGCATTACACAGATGGGTTCTCAAAACTTTTTTTAGTGACAGACAATTAGCATATCATTAAAAAAAACTATGACCTACCAACTGTATCGATTACTTGGTAGGCAACACACTGATGACGGGTTTGCAATGCCAATAATGGTTCCATATTTACTGGTTTATTGTTGCAGCTTTAGTGATAGCTTCATACCAAATTAGCACAAAAATCCAATAATGATCGGAGTTGAAAGACTGTATGGGTATGGATAAAATTACATACTTGCTCCGCTTTCACTTCTAATATTGAGCAACTACCTTCTTTTGGCAAAGAGGTTATCCTTAAGAACTCTATTAAACATCACTTTGTGATCATATGATGTATTTTGTTCACTTAAGGGTGAAAAAAAATAAATGAAAAAGCCTTACTCTTTGTATCCAGCTGAGCACGATACTTTTCAAATCCCTTGAGTCGAACTCGTTCTCCCAAAAGCTGAAGAAACTCTTCAAAGGCTGGACCTGCTGATTCATTATTATACATTTCCTCTTCAGTGCTCTGCCCAGCTTTGCAGTACATGATACCCACTTTAAGTTGGTAACTTAACTGCAATGGGAAAAAAGATTAAAATCTTACATGTATACCAAGTGATGCAGCAACTTACTACTGAACTCACTTAACATGTTTTAATAAACCCATAATACACAAAGAAAAATACCTTATTATCAGTCTAATTTCAAATGTTAGTCTAGCTCCTCACTGTTTTCCACTATAATTGCCTTGATGATGGCATATTTCATCTGAAGATGTCAAAATGCTTTCTCAAGCAAAATAAACATTAACATTTCTTTTATTCAGGAGAAAAACACTGCAGCTTGCAAATGGTGAATGTCTTACATTGAGTCACATGGAAAGTGTTGGCTGAGAAATGCCAGGAACTTAACTCTCAGGCTGGTACCATGGTTACTATCCCATGCTAATCCTTCCACGCAGAAGGGTACGGCACAGCATGTGCTCATTTCGATAATGAGTGACAAAATGAACATTTCCTCACTTCAAGGAGAAGATAAATATTTTTCTCATATTAGTGCATTCACCTATTAGGAATTTTGAACAAATCCATGGCATTCAGTTGGCCTTCTCTGACTTAAATTCAGTAATAAAAAATAGCTATATTGAGAAACGCTGCTAATTCTTTAAAGATACTATTTACTGGCATAGACAAACATATTTGTGCTTTTTATGTCTATTTTCCCTCTAATTTGGTGCCTGATGTTCCTAATACAGCAGAAACTGAGGATCTGAATAAAGCAATTTTTCACCCAACCATAACTGTGATCCTTCAAAGCAAACTGTTCCCACCCATTCCAAATTGATGCACACATAAGAACCACCACATCTGTGCCTTTTATGTGTGGACTACATAAACAGAAGTTACAGAATAGAAGCAAGCAGCACCCATAGCCACTTACTGCCATCTCCAAAACCAATGTCACAGGCAGGAACTCTGACTAGGAGATCACAAAGGAGAGCCATGGAGTAATTCATCAAGTAAAAATGCATACTTATTGCAAGGTAAATAATCTTTCCTCCCACACAGGAATTTCTGCAGACGCTCCATTTTAAATAAATACCAAGCATATCTGCCAGAGCAAAATCACAAGAAAGACTATGAAAACTTGCATGGAATTTACAAGTCTGCGCTACAGGTTAGTAGGAACTGAAAACAGTGATTTGCAAGGGCACTGGAAGCAAAGTCATATGAATACACTGTGATTTGCTCTCAAAGCTTTTGTCACAGGTCATGAGACAGAAGATTCTGAAACTTGCAGGAAGATGTGGACACAGACTGGAATTCATTACTTTTAACATATTTACAGTGCCATAATTTCAAAGCCATCAGAAGTGGTCCTACCCTGCCTCTAATTAAAGTTAATTTTAAAATTAGACTCAAGATTGCAACTTAACTGCATTCTTCTTTTACTACAAAGGATGAATGATGACGGGGTAAAGTATTAGCAGGAAAACAAGGAGGGGAAAAAAGAAGGGTAAATATCAGCTTGGCATGATTACTCCTGTTAAAGCCAAGCACATGTAATGAGTCACAGTTCTAGGCTGTTTCTCTCCCCCCTACCCCCACCTTCAGAATGTTCCCTTATTTTATCATTTGACACAATGATTACCTGACTTACACCTTCTAAATATGTCCAAACATCTCACAATAAAATGTGAGTACAGCATAGAATTTCAGAATGGTTTAGTTTGGAAATGACCTGAAAACTCATCTAGCTCCACCCCCTGCCATGGCAGGGACACCTTCCACTAGACCAGGTTGCTCCAAGCCCTGTCCAACCTGGCCTTGAACACTGCCAGGGACAGGGCAGCCACAACTTCTCTGGGTACCCTGTGCCAGGGCCTCAGCACCCTCACAGGGAAGAGCTGCTTCCTAATACCTAACATAAATCTACCCTCTTTCACTTTAATGCCATTGCCCTTCATTCTATAACTATACTCCTGATAAAGAATCCTTCTGTATCTTTCCTGTAGGCCCCTTTTAGGTTCTGGAAGATGCTCCAAGGTCTCCCTGGAGCTTCTCTTCTCCAGGCTGAACCACCCCAATTCCTAGCACATGCTTAAATCAATCTATTTCTTACGAAGGAAACATTCATAGGCCAACTTGCAGAATCACAACTAGAAGGGGAAAGAGGGTGGAAGGAATCAATTTTGTGCCTTGAAGTAATGTTTCTATTTCCTTTTCTCCCATTGTTAATTCTTTGAAATGCTTTCTGTGTAAATATAAAGGAAAAATGCTCTTTTCAGCATTCATCACCAAAAACATTGACCTTTAAGAATGAAACTATGTATTTTGGACACTGAAGTATTAGGGCTTGAACCAAAAATATTTATTACAAAAACAAGTACTGAGCACATGCAAATTAATGCTACAATTTATTATTATGATTATTTACTTCAACTCTCCAGTCACTAAAAAAAAAAAAAATTCAAAACAACCATCAGCGTGCACAATGCTAAATCCAGATATAAATGAATGCGGGGTTTTTTAGTGAAACATTCTGCATGATGACTGTTTTCTCAGGAATCACAGAAGCTAGATGAGGTTTGCAGGCACATCTATCATCTCTGTTTAGCTAGCAAACAACACTATCCCACTCATTGAGAGCTTATTGCCTCACAGCAGCCAAACTTAGTGCCTTTGCTGACAGAGCTATGTACTCACAGAGCCTGGACCAGCTACTGCTGACACACAGGGAAGAGAGAGGAAAGGTGATGAGAGGTGGCCCTGCTGCTGCTTCTGTCAGAACAGCCGTCATCAGTTTCGTATCAGCAGTAGCAGGTCCTGTCCTGGACCATTCTGGAAATGTTTGTTGCTCAGATATGCTCCTTGTCCACTCCCATGGAAATACAATGGATGGAAGTGTTTCATGGAACCACAATGCCTTAGCTGCACTGCTAATTTTATTTAAACAAGTTAGGGCCAATACAACTATTCTTACCAAGCACACGTATACTATTTACACTTCAATTTCAGGTCAAGGAGTTGCTTTAAGAGCATAAACATCAATGTGATCCATAGCATCTAAGAGCAACCAAACAACTGTCCTTTATTGGTTTGAAAACGTCACAGCCTAAGAAACTAAATAAGGACTATGTAAGGAACAGGATATGCTGTGTTTTATTTCCTGAACTATAGGAAAAAAGGATTTTCATAAGGACAACACATGCTCATTTACTGAATCAAGAAAAGCAGATCCAGGGAAAGAAAGGCATGCAGTCCCCAGTACTACACCTTCTTCTGATAAATCTAGGATCCTCAGAAGTACATTAACTCCAAGGAAAAGCTAAAAAAGGAGCTGAAGGACAAAATGTGCTGTGGTAGAACTCCTAAAGTAGCAGCTTCATTTTAATAATCTAAAAGGTATTTACATATTTATGTGGGAAAAGTGCACTTCAAGTATTTGTCAGGCACCCAGAGAAAGACAGCGGAAAGCTCATCTTGGATTTAACCAGTCAGCAAGTTTCTATTATAAATGAGGATTTATATTAAAAGCCAAGTGACATCTCATAGTATTTTTGTGAATGAGGAACTGCAATAAGGATAAACTTCTACTGGTATAAAACAGTAATTGCTGTGATATTAAAATTTTTAAATCATATTTGGAAGCAAACCTAAAGTTACCATGAACTCTGCATTCAATGCAAAGATTAGTAGATGGCAATTAGCCAGGAAGCTAGCACAGCCCTATGGAATGATCGGATTGCATTTTAACAGAACCATTTAAATGACTGCATTTTAATACAGCAAATAAAAGAACAGCTAGGTGACAAGCAATGTGGGCCACACGCACAGAACAGCAGATGTTACCATTACTCCAGCAATCTAAGGGGAAGTAAGGAGCATGTAATTTATGTACATCACCAGTGCAAAATTGGGACAAGAAAAATATTCCCATTCTGACACTGGATGCCATATGCAGATAATGAAAGAGTAGAAGAGACAGAGCTCAGCCATAAAAGTGATATGAAATTCAGAGAAAATACATTACAGTGAGACTTGAAAAGTGCAATCTGTTTAGTTTACCGCAACAAGACCAACAGATGATTTAATCACTGTGTACAAAAACCTCTTCTGGAAAAAAAAAGTAACACCAAAATGACTTTTAAGATGTAGCAGAGAAAGATATCAGAAGTCTGGAATCTGAAAGCAGACAAATTCAAATAAAGAAATGCAAATTCTTAAGTATGAAAACAACCAACTGCTTCAAAACGTGTCTCAAATATAAAATAAAGATAGCCTACCTTAATCATAATTGGTGTATGTGAATTTGACTTAATGAAGGGGTTACTGGGTGAAATTAAATGGCCAAGTTGGCTAATATCACTATATATGCTTAACTCTTAAATTTCCAAAACATCTTATTTGCTATATCAAACAGTCACCTGTTTATGCTGTAATGAAACAGTGAGACACTCAGCAAGAAGTGATAAACATTGTGTACCTAATTAGTAGAGCAGCTGTTACGCACATTTCTCTGTTAGCGTGGAATTGATAAAAAATGCAGCTTCTAATTAGTACAGTGTGCTTATCTTCTTCTGTTAGAAGTGTCAAACAGTTTCGTTACCACAATACTTTGATGTAGATACTACAGTTTTAACTATCACTTGTCCTTAATGATTTTCAAAAGTTTGAGTAGCAACAGAAAACCATACCTCAAACCATATTGTGGAAGAGTAGTGACATATAGGATATATGAAACAAGGATAATTTAAGCTCACACTTTTACAGAAATAACCCACTTGCTAAATTACTTTTCAAATTAGGTGTTTATTAGAAATAATTTGCAATTCTTTTAAAAAACTTTCTGCTAAGGTTTTTTTTTTTCTTTGTGAAAATTTTCCCATCAATACTACTGAGACTGCAGGTTCTTGAAGGCCATATCTGGAAGGTACTGATCTTCAAAACCAAATGCTCACTTATGGAACCATGTTGAATTAAATGCCATTTTCTTCCTTGCTGAAACAGAAAACTTTGGAAAAAGACTGAAAAAGATATCCTTGAGTATTCAACTGCCTGACAAACTTGATTCTGGATGAAGGGCAGATTAGGTTTAGGTAACAAATCATTGAACTAAGTATGTACATATTTGGAACCGCTGCTGAAATCATCCAAGGAAAACATACAGGCCTCCAACTTATAAGCATCATAGAATAGCTTGGATTGGAAAGGACCTTAAAAGGCCATGAGAACAGTTACACTGAACAGCATAAGCATGTAAAGATGTTGTCCTTTTAGCAGGCTACATGGTAAACCCATCTCCCCTCAACCTTACTTATTCACTGGCTTACTGCAGTGCTGTTCCCTGTAGGAGCTGATAAACACATGCAGAAGATACAGCTTATACAGAGTGTACTTGAATTTTTAAGACACATCTAACAAAGCTTTATAAAGTCTTAAAAACCCTAAATAGCTAGGGTACAGAAAAAAGAACTCCCCTAGTATGTAACTGGCTAAAAGACAAAAAGGAGCTGAAGAAAACATTCAGTTCAGTAAGGCAGGGATCTGAACTTGGACATACAGCATTCAACACACACTTCAGCAATATAATAGATGTGATGAATAATAAGGGAATTAAGTTTGCTAACATTTCTGAGTTGGTATTCCTCTACATTATCGGAGTTGAAGTCTGCCTATGAGAAATACCAAAGGAACTTACGGATGACAGTCCATAACTGGGCAAAAGAACAGCAGATGAGCTTCGGTGCAAGTAAAGCTTCGAGTGACTCATGCGGTACAAAGATACTCAAATTTGTATTTGCAGCAATGAGCTCTGACTTGCACCCCTAAGGAACAGGACCGTAGGTGTTCATGATACATGCTTTCCATGTTCAGTAGTAGCCATAAAGCAAATAAAATATCAGTGATTATTAGAGAAGGAGGAGATAAAGCATACTAAACCAAAATTTTCCCCATTTTCAAAACTACTGTTTTGAAACAGCTGTGGGAGAGGAGGAGGAGGAAAACTGGAAGAATTCCAGAGAGGCAAAAACATGATCAGAAGTACAGAACAACTTCTATGTGAGAATGACTAACAAAACTAGGAGCCATCAAACTGGTAAAGCAGAGGTGTAGAGCCCTATAAAAGCCTACAAGCTATATCAGGAGCTAGGAAAGTATCACTCATGCTCGTCCTGTTCTTGTTTCCTTACCCAGGGACCCACAGTTGGTCACAGTCAGTCACAACACTGGGCTGCACCTACCATAGGCTGACCACATACAACCAATCCTGTTGTTAGTCTGGATATCCTGCAGTAAACCACAGCTACTCATTTCTTCATCCTCTTGCATCATGATCTTGGTGAAATAAATGAGGTTCTGAAATTAACTAGAGGAGAAAGCGTTTTGCCCAAGTTTTGCTTCAGGTAGGTATCTATCTGGGGATTCTTTATCTTGTCCATATTGATAAGCAATCCACAAGGAGGCTATCAAAGTCCTCATGATAGTCACTTATAAACCTGTTTAGAATAGCTGTATTCTCTCCCTTGTGGGGCATATAATTTTAGACATTTTTCAAACTTCTGATGGCAGTGTTAGACTGACAGCAAGAAGAAATAACACAGATGGTAATTTTGTGCAGAGCAAGCTAATCATGAGAAGCAAAAAGGACAAGGAAAAAGATAGTCTTCGTACTCAGAGCTGTTAAATGCCACTGTCAAAGTTTTTAATAATAAAATTCACTTTATTCATGGAGTTTCATTTTGCTAAGTCTAAGCTATACAGTTAATGAGCCTTGGTTCCATCTTCAAGAGACCAGAGGACTATACCCTAATCAAAAACCACTTGTATGAAAAAGGGGCTTAGAAAATTTTGCCATGTAGTTTGTTTCATGGGAAGGGAATAAAAACCCCAACCAACCAAATCAAAAAAAAAAAAAAAAAAAAAAGGGAGAGCCAAAAAAAAGTGAAAAGGAGACAGGCAGCATCCTGGTAATGGCTATGCCAATACAACAGTGCAAGTCATTTAGTAACATGGGAAACTGATTCTCATGATAGTAGCTATAAGAAAGCCAGAACAAAATTTCCCCCTCCCCAGTCTTTGAAAACTAATCAATCAGTCTCTTCTAAAGTAAATAAAAATGGACAATTGACATAACATTAACCTAAAACTTCAGACTACTTAGAGCAATGAGCTTGGTTTCATACATACCAAATAGTCTGCTAAACTTGGGGGAAGACATGCAACATAAACTAAAGCCTGTCATCTCTAGGGAGAATTAAATGAGGCATTTTAATAGGCTGACTCTAATCACTTAAAGCTAAAAGGTAATTCTGCAGTTCATAGCTGTAATCTGACAATTGAAGACAATTTGTCTCATTCCATAACTCTGCACTTACCCCTTGTTCATCCAGCTTCATAAGCTGTTCTGTGACTTTCGGAGTGTTGAAGGCCAACCTTAGGCAATGGATATTCAGCTCAGGAACCACATACTCCAGCACTTCTTTTAGGGGAAGTCCCCTGGCTGTGCAATGCTTTGCAGTTGAAGGGATAGCATCTTCCAGCACAGAGCCTCTTAATGTCATAAGCTAAACAGATGAACCAAAAAGAGCTTATATATTTAATTATGCACTGAGAAAAGGTTGATTAGTAACAGCAGTGGAGCAAAACACACCCTTTCTCCAATTCTCTGCAGACTGAGGACATTAAGTAACTTATGTTGCATGAAACAGACACTGACACACAAAATGTCACCAACTCTGATAGCTAACATTAGTCAGGGTATATCAAATGATTCGACAGTTTGAAGTTTTACAAGAAACTAATGCTTGGAAAAGATTATTAATAGCATTCCTAGCATAGCAATTCAAAGCATAAAAGTATACTTCTCAGGTCTACCCTATAAAAGTGGAGGAAGTAATTTCCCTCATCTTTGCTTGCTTCTAGCTAATACAGCTCCTGTAAATTTCTGAAGCTTTACCCAAACCAACTTTCATCGTCACCTCTGTACCGGATGTTACAGAGTAACTCACTCACTGATACACTGACTTGTAGTCTGTGTAACATAAACACATGGCACAATTTGTCAGATTTTTGGATTACATGTATGTAGAGGAGAAAATTCTGTTATTAGTGCTCAAAAGCACACAAGCCCCCCTCATACCCCCTAGTTTTGACTACTCACTTCTAGGTTCTTATCATTCCTGAACTACTTACCTCACTGGTTCTGAATATGATCCGGTAATTGTACTGAGGTCCATTTTCTTTGATTTCATCTGGCTTCTCTCTTCTTATACTCACAGCTACTGGACCCAGGTTCTCATCTGCCCCAAAATAGTTCCAGTGTTCTTGCATTAAGAAAAAAGGAAAAAAAAAAATAAAACTCCATGTTTTCTCTTACATTTCAACTACATTTTCATGCTTAGTTGTTACATTGCAAATAAATTGCCAGCTCTAATAGTCAATAAGAGTATGTTTTCAGTGGTACAAGGACTTTATTCTCATGCTTCACTCCTCTAATAAACTCTACTCATACCAAAAAAGCTGAAATTCAACATTGCATCTCTGCTTAAACAGACCTAAACCAGGACACGCCTCTTACATTGGCTCCTATATGGAAAACAGTTTCATTCACATTGAACTAAAGGGCAAACAATCCCACACCCCCTTAAAAACAGAAAAAAAGGCAGCCAAATGCATCAAGTGGGAAGCTCACCACTTTATGTTAAAATAGGAGCAGCAAACAATTGTACTTGCAAAGGATGCAACTTACTTATTTTTGTACGGAAAAAGCAAAAACCAGCCAAACAAGTTAATTATAAAAGGGGGAAAAGTGATGAAGCTGAAAAAGAAGTTAAAGACTTGTTTATAGTAAAAATAAATAAATCAATCAATCAAAGCACAGTACCACAGGACATTAGAATGAAGTGTGAGAAACAAAGTGACTCACAGAAATATTTAAAAGTGAAATGCTGAAGAACTCCAAGTGTTAAAGTATTAAGAGTAGAGTCTAACAGTAGCCTAGTTGGGATGGTAGCAGAGAGAATATAGAGCCGGAGAAATTGTTCAGTAGCTGAACAGCAGATTATGTGAGATACACAGAGATACATGTTAAAGCTCAGCTTTGCATTAAAAATATTTAGAAAAATGCATTTACAAAAATTAAAGCTCAAGACTTTAAGAAATTGGTGTTGAAGGCTCTTCTATTGAGCCTGCTGAGCATAATGAGTTATCTTGACTCATTACAGAGGTACATCACCATGAAGGCATCAATATATAAAGCTGTTCATATCTCAAATGACAACTGAATTTAACATACAATGCCTGAACAGAAAATATAAGAGAAACTGACAAAAAAATAGAAGTCAAGCATTGTACAAGAAAAACAAGTCCTAGGTCACCACATCCCATATGCTGCATATCTGCATGTATGAATGAATTTAGTCATGCACAAAAATAAAAGTTAGAGCTATCTGAAAATTCAACAATTCAAAGAAATGTGAAATTCAGTGAAAAAAAACACAACACTGTCCTGAAAGGAAACGTATCCATCCTTCCTGAACTACTATATCAGATTACTTGTTATTCTTAACACCAACAGCATTAAGAGCAGTCTAATATGAACTACTGTACTACAGAGATAAAACGCAAAATATTTTGGTATCACCAATAGGAAATGAATCTTTAAAGATAACAAAACCAGATCTTGAAATACACTCTATCCAAAGTGAAAGGCAGTCACTTCTCCAATGAATGAATCACTTGTGGTGGTAAACATTTGAGTGCCTCTATTTATCTTTTTAAAGTTATACTTACCACTATAGTTCTTACTATACTTTCCTCCAACAGGTTAAATGCCTTTCAAGTAGATGCCCTCTCCTTATGAACTTACTTGTGCCCCAAAATTACATCTCTTAACATAGCTGTCCAACCCTTTTAAGCACTTGGAGGCCCTATTCTATTCCCCAGTATCTGGTATTTCATTACCCTTTCCTCAATGTTTTCAATTTAAGATTTCAGAGCACGCAAGGCATAAAAGAAACATGCTCACAGCATTATGAATCTTGCTTTCTATCAAATTCCGCTGCAAGTCATCAAAAGCCAAGACTCTGTGCAGAGGTAATTAAGATTCAAAATTCTTTTAATATCTTGTGGAATTATTCTGTAAATATTGGCATAAGTTTTGGGTGACTGAATTAGTCATGAGTGGGGAAATTATGAATAAATTAGACCATCCATATAAGCCTAATTAAATCTTCATACTACTCCACTGATACGAGCCCTGTAAATGTCACAGAGATCTTCTGTTAAAATCCCAAACCACCTTATTAGCAGCCTAGTTTTAATTCTGCCTCTATTGAGTAACAGGTTCATTTATGGCAATTTATGGTCAGTGCAAAAGCACAGTCATTGAGAATGTGACATCAGTTTTCTATCAGCATGTTGCAGCTTCCAAAACCTGAGATAGCTTGGCCATCCCCACACTAAACAGCCAAGTGACTTAAAAACATTCATACCTTTGCTTATACAATAGAAAATTTTAAGGAAAAAAAGGTATGTTGGCAATACATACTGGAAATGTCCTAAAATCACAGTAGTTTTCTGTACTGACAGCTGCACAGATGATAAAATTTGTATATCTTGTAACCAATGTAGCCTGAAATTCAGAGTTTCTCAGGAGAAATTATTCTACATCTTGAAAACACATTTAGGAAGGCTGGTAAGAGGAACATTTGAAGCTGCATGAAAATACACACTTCTCTCCCTTTTGAATAAGCTTTTTGTCAAGCTCCTATTCATTTGGAAAAATGCATAAACAGGTGTGGAATTTGACACTTCTCTGGTAATCAGAAAAGTCTTTTATCAACTTTCTTTCCATACCAGGCATTTGTCCTTGCTCTCTTACACACCAACCCTCCCCGCCCCCCCCCCCCCCCCCAGTCTTCTATCCACATTGCCCTCTCCTCTATTCATATTTACTACTTACACTTTCATTCTTTAGCTCCATCTGTATTCTCTTTGTCCTCATCTATCCCACCTCAGTATTCAGGCTACAGTGCATATTGCCCCATGCCTGACTACATTTCCCTGAGGTATGTAAGTTCTTCTAGCTCCACCTTTTTTACCACTACACCCTGGATTTCCTTGCATCCAAACATTTTTCTCTTTCCTGTAGCAGAAAAAGCAGTAGCAGAATTTAAGGGCACAAAGCTTACTATTCAATCCAAAGGTAGTTAATTAGGAGTTTCATTGTAAAAGCCAGGGCTACTGCACAACTATACTTCTAGAATTTTATGCCAAACATGAATAGCGTAGAAGACAGCTTTTTCTTCCACCCTACACAGAACTTCATTGAAATCAACCCTTCTCAAGCTTTACATTATTTAATATATAAAACACCGTTGAAAATTATTTAATTAAAAGACATTCAGGAGACAACTAGCAACAGCCATAAATTAAAGTAGAAATCCATGCCAAAAAGAAATAATTAATTGCTTATACCTGGTCATTATAAGAGACTATACATATTTTACAAAATAGTTAAATATTATCATAAAATGCAAAAGGCACTTGCAGTGGAAAATGTAAGTGTAAATACTCATTTTCCTGGCAGATACTTACAAGTTTCCTTTGAAAAGGGAATCCAAATAAAAGCACTTGATTTTGAGTGAGAAGCTGCTTCTGTGCTTTTATCATATTTACCTTTGGATATCATGCTCAATTGATGTATTTTGTGTAATAAGACTGGAAGTGAAAGTTTGAATCGTTCTGCTTCAGAATGAAACTTAGCATCAATCGTTTTCCTCTTACCCTACCACAGCATTTACAGTACTGGGAAATTCTTCCCAGCTGTCCTCTGGAAACAAGAGGGCAGCATTATTAGACATCAGTCCTACAATGTCTTCAGACTGTTGCTCATGGCCAGACTGTTAACTGTAAATTTCTGCAAGTCTAGTCACACACCTGAAAGCTACAGATTTGGGGATAGAATATGCAGCAATTTAAACCATTAGAGCGAAGGGGGATTTTAACTGGCTGCCAGCAGTTAAAGGAAAGCTGACCAAGAGCTCATTCGTTCTAAAACCACTTCAGGAAATCATTTACTTCTCAGTCAAGTCTTTCATTCTAAGCCAGTAACTCAAACTTATCCTAAACAGTAACAATGTCAGCGACTACTGCCTGATGATTACTGCAGCTAAATGGATGCTCTTGGTTCTTCCCATGACATCGTAATTCCCAGACACTAGTGGGGGGACAGAGAGAACAGACAGCTCCTTTGGAGTGATGTGCTCTCCCTTCTGAGCAGCACTTAAGCTGATATAAGGATGATACAAGGAATAAGCTCTTTACTATGAGGGTGATGAGGCACTGGCACAGGCTGCTCAAAGAAGTGGTAAATGCTGCACCTCTGGCAATATTCAACGCCACACTGGGCAGAGCCTTGGGTGGCACAGCCTAGTGTGAGGTGTCCCTGCCCATGGCAGGGGGATTGGAACTAGATGATCTTTAGGTCCTTTACCAACCCTAATTATTCTATGATTCTACGATCAAGCTATAGACAGGCTAATAAGCATGGCTCTCCTTGAAAAATACTTTATTATAGAATCATAGAATAGTTATTGCTAATGATTAACCTGTTACCTAAATGTACATTTAGACAGCTTCATCCAGAATACACACACAAATCTTTTACCCATGTATGGGAAAAGAACTGAAATCTTGGTTATAAGTTATGGCCAGACATTCAGAATTTTTAAATAGAAAACAAAACATTAGAGTGCTATGTAAGTCTGCGGGTTGCTTGTGTCTTGAATACTATGCCCTGTTCGCAACTGGAAAAGGTTCAGAGAAGGGCAACAAAACATAATTGAGGGGAATAATATGGTTGAGACTTTAAAAATAACACACAGCAAGGAAAGGGGAGAAAACCAAACTTTCACGCCTAGCAGTGAGACGATTGATCTGATGACCCTAGTTTTCATTCTGGAAGCCAGGAGACAAAGACAGCAAAAATTGGCTCTTTGTGTAGTCAAGCTGCAGAACTCCTTGCTGCTGCAGGAGTACTCTGAATGCTGAAAGTTTATTCGGGATAACAGATGACTGGATAAATGCCCATAGGAAAAGTCCAAAGACTACTAAATACGAATTACACTATCACCAGGTTAAGTAGTCCATTATCTACACATCTCCAGATGGCTGGTTAAGTTTGCCTGGAAAATATTGCTATGCCTTTATCTATTCCTACTCCTTCCTCCAGTATCTGCTGTTGGACTTTGCCAGAAGATACGACTAAAAGTTTTGGGTTGACCCAAGACAACTCTTTTCTTCTCTGGGAACCATGATTTTATGCTCAGAAATAGCAAGTTCAAGGATTTTGCTTCTCTTTCTCTTTTTTGTTTTAAATAAACTGAAGCATTGCAGTCAATAGTATGAAATGAACTGTGAGGTGTAGAAAGTTATGTATTTAAGTAAGAATCTCACTTTCTCACACAAAAAGGTACTTCTTTTTTTTATATTTCCATAAGAAGGTATGAAAGATTTCCTCCTATCAAAAAATGTGTTGTCTCAAACTGCAGTTCATGAGCTCTCTTAAGGTGCATTTTCTTAGAAGGCTAGTTGTAAGGTTTTATACTCACATTAGGCATAGGACAAAAAAAAAAAAAAAAAATCAGAATGTTCTAAAAGGTAAAATAGTCCAGAAAGGCCCAAAACAACTGACAGGTAGCTTCTTGAAATCTTTTGTTCCCTCCCTTTACTGTCATGTAAAACAAAAACAACAAATGTCTTCCTTCAGCAAGTTCCTCCCATGCCTAGTTGTCCTTCTTGGTCAAAACTTAATCTTATTTCAAGGTCAAATTTCTGCAGCTTTCACAGATTTGCTCTTGTGCTGGCTTCCCCATTTTGGGGTGGGATTTTTTTTAGCACTAGTATTACCACATATCATAAGTTTATGTGCTTATAAAAGTCTTAAACATTCCAATTTCAAGTCCCCCTATGAAATACACCTTTCAAAATACACCTTTAAATAGTCACCTTGCAAATATACCTTTTGCAATATAAAAGTAGTATTCATCTGTAAGTATTAACGTCTCCATTTGAGTTAGTCGTGTATGATCCCCCTATGGTGAACTGAGGAAAGTAAGGTGTATCGGCCTGCAAGGTTTATTTCTCTCTCAGTACACAGGCAGCCTGCACCATTAGCTCAGATATAAAGTAGAGGAGCTGAAACCAGCCTTGGGAATTAACATTATGATGTTCTTTTGCCAATATCTGTACCATTTTTCTAACCTCCACTAAACTGTCTCTACCAATATTTTCACATTTAGAAGTCTGGACATCAGGCCAGAACATTATTTAGCAACAGTTTTACCACTGCTCTGCAAAGGGTCAACTAATATGTTGATTTCACCTTGGTATTTCCTTTACGTAAAAACGCTCATCCACTTGCACGCATCAATGAACCTATGAGAGTCATCCATAAATGTCATATGCAAATATTTTACACTAAAGATATTCCAATTAAGTTGGACCATGTCAGTAATACTCCAGCTCCCCCATACACTGCTAAAGTTCGAGATGCAGCCATTATCCACATAACAATACTGGTGAAGAAGTTACTACATCCATATAATTAAAGATTTCAGTCAAGTCACCATCAGCATCACACCAAATTACCTTGCAGAAATTAAAATGGATTATATCAATGCAATGGATTTTTTTAAGACAAAAAAGCATAACAGGGCAGAGATTTTTTGTTACAAGACCTACTTTTCATTGAATCATGCTTACTGACATCATTAATGAGTTCTAACTGACAGCTCTTTGTTGACATAGTCCCAAATTATCACCTTGGTTATTTCAAGTTGGAATGAAAATCTAACAGATTACAGTTCTCTGGGTCATCGCTTTTTATTCTTTTCAAGCTCTAGGAGCACTCCAGTAGTTCTCCAATTCTGTGACATTTTTCTGGCTTAAGATGTTTAAAAGTTGTCATTGCTGAATCAGAATCCTTTGCTTCATATTAAGACTCCAAAACTACCCAAGGCCTGTTGACTTGACTAGTACCACCGAAACTTGTCTTTTGCCACTAATATTCCATTCATGTCATCAAGATCCAACCTCCTCTTCAAACTAGCAGGTTTCTGCATCATTACTTGCTTCATGCTATAAAAACTCTGAATTACAACTGACTTACTTGATTATTTCTTTTTTCTTTCCTATTACATTGTTTCAAGTTTTATCATTACCCATCTGTTTCAGATTAGTCTGAAGTTTGCTTGAGGAAAGACGGTGCACTGGGTGGTCAATGTGTTTGGTTCTTGTAGAACTGTGGGTTTTGGGCATATCTGATGAGGCTTCTGAAGTACACTGCTTTTCAGACAGAAAAATCTCTGGTAGAACCTATGCCCCTGGCTTGGGCCTGCTGGACTGAACATGAGCACAGTGAATCTGAAATACAGTTTTAGGGCTGGATTAGGGAGGGAAAGAAAAATCACAGCTTTCTCTCTCAACCCAATCTACTCCATACATATACTGACATCTTTATACCCAACTGCCCCTCACCAGTACCCTTAGGACTAGGTTATGTCAGTTTTATCTAATTCATCTTAACTGCAACTAGAAAGAAATGGAGATAAAATGGTGACTGGCATTGTAGTAGCATGAAGGTGTGATTTCCCTTAAGGATAAACCAAACTAATACATTGCTGTTGCTTAAGGGCTAAAATCCCACCCCTTTCTTCCACTGTTCACTCTCACTTCTTATCAGGCAATAGGTAAGTGCACTTCTCTGACTGCAAGGAAAGTTGATTTGACTCACTAAAACTAAAGAGAAATAATCCAGCAATAGACAACAAATTTATTGTGATGGAAAGATTTCTACTTGGTTAGTAACTGAATGGGCTTACCAAGTTTTCAGAAAACAAAGGAATATGCACAAGGAAGGGGGATGGAATAATCTTCTCCTTTTGTGCTGAAATGCTGTTAAATCAGGCCGGCTATAACATGAAACTGCACCTTTAGCTGCTGATTGCAAAACTCAAGAGTGGTAAGGAATCAAACTGTTCTGAAGGGAGACAGATAGGAAGGTAATCACAGGCAAAGCTCTCTAATCTCAGGCTCTCCCCAAACACCTCATCCTACATTCCACATATGGATTAGCTGTTCTCAGGAAACCAGCATTTTTCTTCACTCCTCTGTCTCCAAAGAATGCAGATTAGCACTCAAAAACCATGCATCAAAGGCTACCTATCAGCCACAGAAAGACTGCAGAAAGAGGAGACTATAGGAAATGTGACAAGAGCCACCAAATCAAGGTACCATGAAGGGAAGAAGAGGCAAAAGATGGGCATACTTTGAAGTAAGGGCAAAATAGGGGATGAGACAACTAGCTCTAAGAGTTAGCAAATTGAAGATTTTTTTAAACTGACCATCCACTTATTATAACCAGACATCCCTGTTGCTTTAATCTGCAGGAAACAAACTCTTTTGAGCTGCTTTCACTAAAGAGATGAAACCCAAACCTGGTAATTGGTAGCTAAGGAACAAGCACTCTTCAGATTAGTCATTAGACTAATTTTATCCATCAGGAGACACCATAGGAAAGAACACAGTCCTGCACACAGAACTCTCAAACTTTAAAAGGCTTTATTCTGCACTCCTTTTTGATCATTTTCAGAATCAGGAAGAACAGGCAGTGAAATCTGCATCTCACGGCGCCAGCATCATTTTGGTGAGGGGGGATATCTGGGTAATATTTGGGCTTTCCCTGTTTCTGTAGGTCAAAAAGCTTTGATCTGATTTTTTTCCTGCACACCTCCAATGGAAACGGTAATCCTTCATTTCAGTGGAACCATGTATTAAGAGAACTGTACTGTTTTTTCAGATATGTTACTGCCATTGCAAAACACACGTGTATACAGAGAGAGAGAATTTCCTTCTACAAAATATGACAAGTAAGAGTTTCCTGTCTAGAACAATGGCTATAATGAAAATAGTGAGGAAAACATATTTTTATCTTTATATATTACTGACTTAAAATAAATATACACACGTTTTGAAATGGATGATTGAAATATGAAAATGTCCAAAGACTATTGCAAATGCTAACTTTGCCAGTGACCATTGGAGTCTCAGTACATCAAATCTTCACGGGGAAGGAAGAAAGCGCTCGCATTTTAGGATTTTCTTTTTTAATCTCTGTGAATAAAACACAAGGATAAATAAAATTTACCTACCTTTCTGATAAAAGAATTTTCGGTAATAGTATGCACCAAGGTCAACATGTTCAACAATGTATCTTTTCACTCTGTCTAGATGTAAGATCAGATTCTCCTTGGGAACTTCCAAAACTGCTACTCCAGCATTCGTGCAATGAGAACTCAGAGTTGACTCAAAGGAGGCACTTTCACATCCACTGAAGGAACCCGAATTAGATTTGGAAAGGCTGATCTTCCTCTCCCCTTCCCCACCAATCTCATTACGAAAATAAGGACAACTCATCACCAGCTCATTGCTTTTATCATCCCCCTGGTCCATATTGAGACTTCCTTTTGAATTCAGGTCTTCAGTGCTGCCCATTGGAGAATTGAAACTTGCAGAGTGGGACAAGGGTCCAGAGACAAGTGATGCTACTGCAGCAGCAGATGCACCTGTGGTTGTGTTCCTTCTTTTTATGACATTATGCCTGTTGATTGCAGCTTCATTTAAATCGAATAAAATACTCTGCACATCATAATGAGCAAAACACTTTGGACAAGTCCAAGGCTTGACGCTATCTTCTGACCTGTTATCTTCAAGATCTGAAGACTTCCCAAGCTCCCCTTCACCTTTGGCATTGCGCAGCTTACGAAAAATGGACGAATCTCCCGTCTCTGATTTTGAGCGTCTTTTGAGTGGCTTTTCCCTTTCCTTAAAGAGTCGCAGGTTTTCCCTTTGAGTAATAGGTCCATCTATCACATCTAGAGAGAACCCTGAGCCCTTGCTTCCACTGGCAATCAGGAGTTCACTGAGCTTACTTGGGGCTGGGCTTCTCTGATCAGACTTTTCATCTTTATAGCCCTTCAGTAAGTCAAAGAAACTTTCCCCTGAAGTTCCCTGCTTATCTATGGAAGATGTGCTGCCATACTCCCTGTGCAGAGATGGTCCAGATTTAAAAGTGGGTGAAATACATTCATCAAAACTATCCACATCAAGCTCACTTATGGTAATGTCACTGTTGCTGCGCTGTCTTATTCTGCGAAGAGCTTTCCTTGGGGAACTGGGATAGCCATCAGGTGTAAGAAACCTGGAGTCTAGATTCTCAGATTGTCTGGTCTTGGTTTTAAGTGTGCTCTGGATGCTCTTTAACATGACAGAATCACTAGCATTCAGGTTAACAGAGCTTCCCTGACTCCCAGGACTGCTTTTAGAAGACATGCTGTCAAGGCAACTCGATGCATCAATATCTTGACTAGATCTGGTTGTTTCCTTGATATTCTCCTTCCTCGGGGGCCAATCAGCAATCCTTGCCCTGACCCCCATTTTAGGGACTCCAGGGGTAGAGGTAACATGATGGGGAGTTTCACTGCGAGGAGGTCCAACTGGTGCCATGACTGCAGAACCTAAGCTGCCATTCTGTGACCTGAAGCGCCTCATATAAAAGTCATCCGAGTGGACTTTTGAGGTGCCATCTGTCCCGACTGATACCCCAGTGGCAACAGCCCTTTCGGTCTGGGACCGCTTCAAGCTGGTCATGATCTTTCAATATGTTCAACTTTAGTAAGTTCCAAAAGAAAACAAAGTCATTTCTGCTTTTTAAATGCACAGTTCTCTGCTGGAGAATAGACTCCAAAATATACAATGGTTGCATGAGATCTTAATCATGGATATTTAAGGACACAGTTAAATGCAGGAGGTCTAGAAAAATTCAGATATTCAGTAGGGTTTGATAAGCTGCAATTCCCTTTAATTTCTGCATTTTAAGAAGTAGCCATGCTCCAATACATTCAAACTGTTTTAACATCACTTGCGCTCCAAACTGTCAGAGTTGTAATCCAATCGCTTATGATTCTTTTAAGCCTAGAACAGAGAAAAATGGAGATAAAAGCATTAATCCTTTCATACAAAACTTTTTTGTTACTACAGCTATCAATATAATTATTACACAGAATTAGTATTTCTAACAAGCATGTTTTTACGCCTCATTGATTGTCATCTCAAAAACACAAGAGTTGTGTTAAATGGCGGTGAAAAGTTTTCCAGATATTGTTGGTCTGCTTTCTGAAAAAGTACTTCTCCATTTGGATCCCACAGCAAAGTACATTTATTGTTTTTTCCTTATAAACTGGCTATTGATACTTTTTAGTTGGGTTACTGCACAGATATACAAAGCAGAAGCAGGGAGCTAATTTCCTCAGCTGAAGAACACACAGAGCATCCATTTACAGCAGAAACTGTAGAAGAGTCAGATCAAGACTCCAAATTTTGTTGATAAATGCTTTAAAGAACTTACCATTTACAAGTCATACATCCTTGGCTGCAATTAGGTATTAACAATGCCTATTCAACTTTGCCATTAATGTAAGCAACCATGATATGCTAACAAATTAAAGGAAGGAAGCTAATTAACAAAAAAAGATTACAAAGTGATAATAGAGAATGGCTGTCAATAACATTCATTCTGTGTTTTGCTCAGCCCTATTTGCAGATTAGCTGGATAGTCCAGAAAGCATGTATTACCTCTGCCAGAATTCACAACATATAAAAAGACTCAAGTTTAACAGAAACACATACTTTCAAGTAACCTGATTTGAAAAGTTCCATTTATTTCCCTAGCTAACAAAATATTGTCTGCCACAGCTCCTCTATAATCCATCTTTACAAAGCCATGGAAATTAAATGCTTTCCCATACCTCATCAGTACTGAAGCGATTACAAAGCATTTAGTGCACTACCCTTTGAGGAGATAAAATGAATGATCCACAAATATATCCTTGCTGGTAGAAGACAAAAGCATGAGACTGTCAAGATAAAATCTTTCATTGCTGTGTACATCCTTTAACACAAAGAAGTTAATAATTTTCAAAGGCTGAACCAATTACACAAAATGTGGCCTTTAAATATTTGCTAAATATGTGCAGAGAGATGCTGCTGAACCAGCACCACATGGAGTATTTTGCTCCACACTAATTAAATATCAAGCCAGGCAGGACACTTTCTGCATCTAAAAGCAGCATGTTTTAACTTTATTTGCCATAGACAGCATTTCTTTGAAATAGCTTCTATATATATAAAGCTAAACACGTAGGAATATTTAAAATGCAAGCTGACTGCATCATGTAACAGTGCAAATGATCTAAGGTATTAATGTATTTGCACAGCTATTTACGTAAGCAGTTACTTTCCCTGCAATTCTGCTGCCATGTCGCTGCTGAAACACTAGTTAATTTTTTCTATGTATACAATTAGAATCACTTCAGAAAGGCAGTCTACCTTTGCAGCTCTTGCAAAACCACTGAATTTTCAGCTGTAACTACACACAAATTTCAGACACTCTCCAGTGAGAACTGATCAAGGTGGTGGAACAACTTCATGCACAATCAGATCAAGGCAGTTAAAAATGCAACTGCTGTGTGCCGCCACATAACCTGATGTTCTGCCCACGCTTTTCAACTGTGCCACAGCAAATGTAGTTAATGCTCTATGAAACAGCAACAGTGCACAGCCCTTTCTAAAGGGCTACACAAGATTGCTTTAATAGGCAGAATGGAAGTAAAACAGAATTAAAACCGTTAAGGATTTAGGGCAGAGGGAAAACAGGCTAAAAGGGATAGTGAAGGAAGAATGAAGTTGAGGGTGGAAAACAAAACGGGCTAAAGTACAAGTGTCCACTACCACGTGCTCCTTTTCATACCCTGCAATGAAACCCAAGATTACAGTCCCTCACCATTCCCCTTTCATCATTATATCTCTGAAAGCAAGGTATACATCATCTCCTCCCCATCCCCAAGTGCTGGGACTTACAGAAACAGATAACCTACAAGTTTCTCATTAACTTGAGGGCAGAAGTTCACAGAGCACTTCTACAAGTTGCCAAGCTTGGTGTTGACCGTGTAAGTGTCCAAATACCACCAGTTCTCCCCATCCCCAGATTATTTTCCTTTGAAAATTTCCAGGATGACAATTCATAAATAATTAAGGATACATGTATATACCCTTATACATAAAATTATATGAAAAAAAAGTGGTCTGTGAAGCTTATTCTTGACCTGTTGTATGTATGGTACAGTAAATTACATGACCACACAGTACTTTTTCCAAGGGAAACGCTGTGTTCCTGACACATTATTAGGGTTGCCTCACTCTGGGGACCAGCTGTTTCATGCTCTGCAGGTTTCTGCAACTGCTGTAGCTGCTGGAATATAGGCAATAAATGATTAAGGTAATAGTTAATATCATACCCTGAAGAACTGAACTCCACCCTGGCCCATGTCTATCTTCATATGAATTAAATCACTTAAGTCAAAATTTTTTTGAGACTGTAACTACCCATCTATGGAGTTTTTCCTAGACCCTTCTGTCCTGGTGAGACCTAATGGTCTGATCTAAAAGGTTCAATTAGCTCTAATTAAAATTAAAATAAAAGCATTACATTTGACAACATTAAAAACTCCTAAGGCATATGTCCTGGATACACTGGTCATCAAATTTAATGAAAAAGGAACAGTAATGGCAATCTGTACTTCGATATTTTCTCATATTCATTGCTTGCAAAACATGATGCAGAGACAGGGTGAATCACACTTGATTTAAATGAGCATCATCTGTTACCAATAACCAGATGACATTATGAACTGGAAAACCTGCAGAAAGTTAAATATTAAGTAGCAGAATCACTAACAGAGAATATGTAATCTGTTCAGATTAGTTGTAACTGCAAGATAGGTATGGCACCTACTTCTAAAGACAAGACCATTATTTATGATGAGTATCAATTCCTATTTTGTTCCTATTTCATTATTAAAAAAGTATTATTCAAGGTCAAGCTGTTAATATCTGTGAACAGAATATGGTGAGGACAAACCATAATAACCAAAAACCTGTATGATTCTCCAAATTCATGTGAACTTAGTGAAGAGGCCAGCAAAATAATCAGATGAACAGCTACATCTAAAAAGCTGTACTTGAAAACCATACATAAAAACTACAAAAAGAGGCACATGAACATTTGGTACTAATTGTATTAATTAAAAAAAACAGTTAAGAGAACAAGCTTGGAAAGCCAACGATCTGCTTATCAGACTGCATGCAGCAACTAGCAAAGCAGTCTAAGGATGTGTTCAAAATGGGAACATATTGAGACTTCAGATTGTAGGATCAGGGATGCTAATGATCCAAATACCCTGATGTTGACAGAGATAGATTTGGGGGCACCAAATTATTCATGTTATAATGTTCCAGAGGGAACACTTCATATTTCACCATTGGCCCTCATTAAAAAGTGGCATTTTACAAATAAAAATTTGGGAATGAGGGAATCAGTTTTTACATCCTAGAAACATCTCACTTTTGCCAAACCTCCCTACCACTCCCCTGCAGCACCCCGAAGAGGGTTATTATAAATATATAATACAGGATGGTAAAAGCAACATATCACCAGGGGCATTTTAAAACACTGAGAACTGTAGAGTAAAGAGCTCAGAATAACATTTTATAGCCTGTAATTTTTAAAAGCATAAATTAAATCATCTCTATTCCACACTGTTTAGTGAAATTTAGCCAACTTAGGAAATGCAGCACGGTACAAAAACACTACAAGCAGTAGCCCTTGTCAGCTTTTACAGGGAAAAGAACTGCCATTGCCATGAAATCTGAAAACTAGCAGCTCTTATGAAATCAGAAAAATAAATGAGAACAATGATAAATATTTTAAATATGAAAGCTTATCTATTTGTGTCACAAATTCTTACCTGAATTATAATATAGATCAAATCCCAGGGGCAGGGGGAATACTCATTTATCAGCCAGTTACATTATTGCATGTACACAATAATGTCTCATTTCATAAAAATAATTCCTCAGAGGAGAAAAATTCAATTTAATCTTTAGAAATACCTGGCTTTATGTGGCTACCTATTATTAAGTTTTTCCTTTTTTTTTTTTCCAGGATTACTTTCATCATTAGAATTGAAGGCAACTTAAAAGGGTCATCTTTCAGAGGAAGTTCTTTTCAACTGAGAAGCTACTTGAAGAATAGAGTTCAATATTTTACTAGCTTACAGGTTTTACTTTTATTACCCTTAGTGGAATTGCTGGTTTTGCGTTAACTGAATTTGTAACAATTGTCAACTCTGTGTAGTACGAAAGACAAAGTCCCCTAACTTTTCTTTCTCTCCCCACCCCAACTGTTACCTACGAAATTTGCCACTGATGTACATGTCAGCAAGTCAGCATTTCTACCCTTTTCTCTGAATGTTTCTCTGCTCCCTAGCCTTTGGAAGAAAATCTTTGCTCTAAGGAAACTGAGTGCCATCAGCTGCCATATGCACAATGACTGCTTGCACTGATCTGCTGATTTAATGGTGCTTTATTCTTAGAGTTCACTATCTGTTGAAGTAGCTCATGCTAAAATGTATGAACTTAAGCAAGGATACATTGATTTTAAGATGTAAGAGGGAGAGAGAAAAGGCACTGCATGTGGTCATTCCAACTTCAACACTCAGGTTCCATTTTGGTACCAGTGTCACTCAGTTAATTAAATGCAGAATCCCTTTCCTGGAAGCTAACTTACATGATCTGGGAAAGACAATCCTTACTGTATGCTATACTATATTCTATTCCTGGAATGAGACTGTTAACAGCAATAGTTTATTTTTGAAAGCAGCACTTGCTCTCTAGAAAGCAATCTAAACCAGTGCCAAAACACAAGAGCAAAATACTCTAACTCCCAGATACTATCTCTCAAGAAAGCTGATTTTTACCAACTACAAAAGGGTTCCTCTTACACCTCCCCACCCCCCCCCCCTTTTTTTTTTTTTAAGGAGATGTTCCTCTTCAGTGTTTCTTTCTCAGTTTCTAGG